AGAAGTTTAGTCAGTACTTCTACTTTTTTAGTAGAAGCCGTGAGTATTTTTAAACACGAGTATCTGTACTTCTACTTGAGTAAAGGATGTGTGTACTTTTGCCATCTCTGCTTCAGTGGAAGTAATAATACAACTTCAGGTCAACATATACATCATTTCCAGAGACACAAGAACATAATGGAGAGCTTAAAAGCCTCCATCAGACAGCACTTCCTCTCCCAGAGACACAGTTATTCCTCCAGCCTGTCAGGAAGAGTTCTGGGTCAGCAGAGTTCAGGCTGAGAGAAATGACGTATCGTTAAAACCTGTAATTATCCGCCGGGCTAAAAACAGAACCCTGCTTTTGTTTGTCAGCCGCAAACCCAAAGCCTCTTTAGTGACGGCGCGTGTTATTAACAGAGGATTTGGAGGATTAGCCAACAGTAAGTACTTTCATCCACGGAGCGCGGTGTTAAAACCGTTCAAAAAGACAGACGGGGAATCAACACACTTTCAGTTCCAGTCAGAATTATGATTTTTGGGATGAGTCATTGAGTGAAAAATGTCAAGTTCTTCGCCTAAAAACGTACATTTACAACCAAAAGAAAGAGTGTGTGCCGGTTGTGTTTAAGCCGCAACATTAACGGAGCTAAGCTGTGAACAATAGATGAGATAATCCTGCCTTCAAGTGCTTCTCTTAAGCTTCTGCTCTACAGCTGTAAATATGAGCTGTTGTGCTTTTGAGGGTTTTTGGACTGAAAAACTCAAAATGGAGGCCAAAACGTCCGGGTTTTGGCCTTAAAGTAATTGTTTGATGAAAATAATCAACAGTTTTCATGACCCAATGTCACAGGGCTATTTTAAGATTTGCCGTCCTGCCCTACTTTGATGCCAAAAAGGTCACCACTGGTGAAATGAGACTTTGCAGCTCTGTTGTCACCAGTTTGTCGTTCCTTTGTGCTCTCAGTGTTTCATTACAAGCAGGGAAAGTGCAGCCACAGGCTTTTATCTACACAGTACTGAATTACTGGGCTGTGAGCTAACAACGCTACAGGCTAACAGCTCTGTAAAGAGGAGGGCTATCACAGTTAGCTTCAAGCTACATGTTCACTTACAGTAGCACTGTAATGAAATGAGTTCTAGTCTAGTTTCATGCAGGTGCTTGTTTGGTTTGCAAGTGAAACCAGTTTGCTATTTTCACTGTGATCTTACTTATATAGATATATAAGATATATATAGATAGTCTGACGTTACTGTAGCCTTTGTATTGATTACACCTGATACGCCAGTATAAAGCAACAACAGAAAAAGAGCTGGTGTTGAGGGCCATCAATGGTAGCCAACTCATTGTTAATAAAAGTCAGCCACCGAGATGCTACTTCTATCAACCTCTCGATTCTTTAGAACCCTCATTGACCAAATATTCTTACAACCCTAACCCTAAAGTTGGGTTCAGGTTGATGTCCAGAACCGATAAAATAAGAGGTCCAGACGGAAGGCTGTAGGCAACACACCATTAATGGGTTATAAGTCATGAAATAGTAGGTATTTTTGGTTGTTGTCCAAAATGTTGGAAGCCTTGAGCTGTTCGCTGATATCAGGATTCATCCTCTGGGGACAATGAATGTTTGCACCAAATTTTATAGAAACATTTTTATAGACAAAATGATCTGTCAGCCACCGAGATGCCACTTCTATCAACCTCTCGATTTTTTTGAATGCTCATTGACCTAATATTCTAAAGTTGGGTTCAGGTTGATGCCCAGAACCTTAAAAAAAAGAGGTCCATACAGAAGGCTGTAGGCTCTCTGCAGAAAATGACTCCACAAAACACCGTTAATGGATTATAAGTTATGAAATAGTAGGTATTTTTGGTTGCAGAACAAAATGTTGGAAGCTCTGAGACGTCAGGATTCATCCTCTGGGAACAATGAATATAAAAACGTCAAATACGATCGGTGAACACCGAGATGCATCACGTATTAAATGCCACTATGGAGGTGTTGATTATCTAACGGTGAGTCTTGGGTCATGTTTTCACTGTGTTATCGTCGGTTAATTCGCCCAGTCTGAACCTTTTGAGATTCAAACGAGAAGGGCAATTTTCTTACAGACTTCTATACAATTTGACTGAAAAAGCACTTCTTCATTGGATTCACTTTTCAAACACGGAGTCTACTTCTACTTCTTTTAAAACTGTGAGCACACCTGTTTACACAGAAAAGAAGAATGCTTTGGTGAAACAGGAAGTCTCTAAACTACCATGTACATGTACAATATTTCGGGCATAATTTCCCCCATTCAAAATACTGGTGTTGATTATCTAACGGAGAGTCTTGGGTCAGGTCATGTTTTCACTATATTATAGTCGGTTAATTTGGCCTTTAGAGATTCAAACGAAGTATCTACGGTCGAGCAGACTCTCCCTCATTAAAATGTGGCCATCAAATATGGAGTAGCAGGTAGAAAAGGCCTTTTGAAAGGACCACAATGGAGAGAGAGTCAGGCAGGAGAGTAACCCCCCCCCCATCCTCCACACATTCATCCTTCCCCCATTTTCTGCTGCTGAATAATTCATAGCATGTGGGCTTTAATAATTCACAGGAATAACATGACAAGCGCGACTGCTGTGTTCTCTGGGGAGCGGCCGGGGATGAATAAATGAGTGAATGAATGAGAGAATGAACACGACGTTACATGTATGAAGAGGAGGATCAGCCTTTCTGCTGACTCGCAAAACTTTAGGTCAGGTTTTGAGGCTTCAGACACATTTTGGACAACAAGTCTGGTTAACCAAAGGGCATAGCATGTGTTTATCTTAGAGGGGATCATCTTTCATTTCACTTCTAACTTTAAAATATTACTTAAAATCCAAATGTGTCAGCCTAGATCTCTTTATGTCTTATATCCAGCTTTATCTGCTGGTTGGTTTCCAAGTCAAGATGCACATCCATGTCAAGACAAGTGTTTCATCATAGAAGCCCAATGGGACCAAAAATACACCTGTGAGCTGGTCAGAGTCGTGTTTAAACAGTCTGAGATATCAAAAGTTTGCTTAGATGTCTTTTTGTGTTACATCCAACTTCATGTTCTGTTCGGTTTCCAAGTAAAAAAGTAGAAATACAATCATTGAGTCCATTTTTCACTGCGTCTGTAAAACACTGAACACTGCTGACAGTAACGGCCCTTAGTAAACCTTATTGCTTACTATGTACTTCAATATATGGAGGAAAATACTTGATCCATTGGCAGAGAATGACGTAGACATACTGTAAACCAACCCAGCATTAATGTCCGATACATACATAAGTAATTAAAGACTGGACTGTGATGGTTATTCAACTATTTTCTCCGCTTTTGTGTATTGTATGTCCCCAAAGCCTGGACAGAAGATTGAATGTGTCGTCTTACTTAATAAAATATGGTACATTATTCCAACGACTGACCATATTGTTCAAGAAAGTTCTTTAAAGTGTGCTTCATATTGAGAAAAAGACCCCAAGAGATGCCAATCTTAGTCATTCTGCACACATTCGATCAACTTCCTGTCACACAGAGGTCTATCGTTACTTTCTGAACTCTAATGACACCAATGAAATGTTCTCTAAAACACGCAGATTTTAGCAAAACTAATTAATACGTACAAGTCAATATCCAGCAGCTCTGAAAGAAACTTGCCTCACACTAACAGGATGACCAGATGACCCGCTTTTCTATCCTTTGTCCCACATATTTAAACAATGTCCTACATTTTGAATATACTCGTTTTTAAAAGTCAAACCACTGCAGGACTAATCTGTTTTTTGTCCAATGGCTGCCAAATACAGAGCTGTTTAATGACAATCAAACGGCGAGTCTAAGCAAAGGTCACAAGATTTGAAGACTTGGTGGAATATAATGGAAACAACGACAAGTAAAAGCAAATGCAGCCAAAATAAAGACTAAGAAACTAGAAGAAGACGCTTCTCAGTTGGTTTTTGCTAATTTTCGAGTAATTTAACAATATGTGAAGCGAAATTATGAGCCATACTTGAAGGGTTTTTCAAAGTTAGATTGAAGTGATATGAAAATGTAGTACAACCTCTAAGCATTAGTATCATGTCTCACACAGAAAATACTTTAGGTCATCCAATACATTAGCTGTAAGCATCATAGATAGATAGATAGATAGATATATAGATAGATACATGAGAGCTATCGCCTACAAGCATCTATGTCTGATTATTACCAATAAAAGCTTTAAAACCCCAATGTCTTACCTGTGTTAATCGTCATGACAGCAGCCTTCTTCCTACCAGCTACTATCAGAAGTTAATCTGCCCTAAAACACAAAAGCTCTCCCACTGTTGGCTTAAATATCCTGACAGTCGTCAAGGAAACATGTGGCACACCCCCCCACCCCCTCCTCATTTAAACTCAGCCATTCAGAGGACAAGGTGAGGAGAGAACAGGTGTGAAGGGGGAGGAAGTGAAGGCGTCACCTGTCTAAATGTGGGGTCTGTGCTACTTGATATCTGATCGACTGTGTTTAACCTTTTTAAATGATAAGTTTGCAACTTGGGTTTTTAGGACTACAACAAATTAGGAAAAAGGAAATAGTAAAAGAAGAATTGAAAGTACATTTGGCTTGTGCTTGGAATCAGTGATATTATGCTTATTAAGAGACATTTGTAGCTTTGATAGCATCGAGATATCTTTGTTATTTCAAGAATGAGATACTTAAATTTAGAAAACACAAACACTTTTTATGTGTATATTTGGCTTGTATGAAGACATTTGTCACTTTCCTTGCATCCAGATATCTTTCTTATGTCAGTAATTGTCTTACTTTGATGGCAGATCATCTGAAATGAGTATCAACTCAAATCTAGTAGGATGTCAACAATCCTGTTGGAGCTGCAGTTTAAACACAGTGTCTGTCTGTCTGTCTGTCTGTCTGTCTGTCTGTCTGTCTGTCTGTCTGTCTGTGTGTGTGTGTGTGTGTGTGTGTGTGAGAGACGATGCAGAGGATCTGAACTCACCTCTCTTGATGTGTTTGAGTTGTCTCTCGGCCTCGTCTCTCTCCTCCGTCAGTCTGGTGCACTGCAGGAACACAGAAGGTCGACTCATTACATCACGTTCAACAACACACTGAGGATACAGGTCACTGACACCAACAGGGTACACACACACACACACACACACACACACACACACACACACACACACACACACACACACACACACACACACACACACACACACACACACACACACACACACACACACACACACACACACACACACACACACTGTTAGTCAGACACAACCACTGGCTGTTTACACTGAGCTGTTACAAAACCCCAGTTTACTCCCAAACCATTTCTAAAAGGACAAAATGGATCTTAAAATCCTCATCAGCTCATAAAAATCGTTTTACATGAGTTAAGGGGCCAACTGTGCTTTTATATTCTACTATTAAGAACATAAATGTAAAGGTTGTTTTACATTTGAATGCATTGAAGAGCTTTTTAAATCGGACAGTAGCCTTTGTCTGTCTCTAAAATATTCAAATATCCAGAGACACAGAGGGAAGATATGGACATGTTGGCCCAATTACAAACTACAATCTGCACTGCCTTTCTCCCTCGTCTCCAAATGTTCCCATGCCTTTATTTCACCAAACGACAGCTCATCACTTCTGGTAACAGATCGACTCTTTCTGCTCCTGCTGACTAGACAGCTGCCCTAAAGAAAAAGGCACTATTGGCTCTATATATAAGATGAACAGCTGTGGAGAAGCTGGGGTGGATTTTGAAGGCGATGACGTCACTGAGGTTATTAAGTGCCAACCTGCGTCAACACTCAAGGACAAACTGCAGGCTGCATCTTTGGAAAGGACACACAAAGCATCAAACGATAAATCAAACCCAAAGCACGAGCAGTTTCGCCCCATTGTAAAACCCAAACTTCGTTGTAATCAATAACCCAACTTTGTATTTTTGGCGCACATTGGGAAATGTTCTTTCATGTTGGCTATTGGCCATGTTTGAAGACAGGGTTTAACAAAAATCTTAGTTAAAATAACTTAATATATAATGTTTCTTTAACTTAAAACAATACGTTTGTGTCACTTTAAATGACGTATGTAAATAGAACTCAATTAATAAGATTATACTTTAACTTAAAACATTTAAGTTAAGGTATAAGTGTTACTCAAAAATGTCGATGTAATCAGTTTATAAATTTTTTTTTGAGTTGTATTAACTTGTCGGGTTTTACAGTGTTGGCCATGTTTGAAGACAATGTAAATATATATCTGGAGAGATTGAAAGAACAGAAACAGCATGTGAGTTTAATATTTGCCCCCTTTCAACAAATGCGTTTCCAAATCTAATAACTCTCTTTCGACAAAGGCAGAAAACCACCCGCAAGCGAGTGTAAAAACCTTTTTTTAGGCAATCAAGTTGACGTTTCCATTCAGTGTTTCCCATGTTCAAAGTTGGCATAAAATACATTTAAGGAAACAAGATGGTTGAACATAAATGTTTGCCTGGTTGAATCATCGGTACAGATTAAAAATAATTGGTCATTTGATGAAAAACAAAAGTCTAAACAAGATTAAATTGAGGTAAACTAAGAGTTGCATTTTCAGTGAGAAACATCCAATTGGATGCATTGAAGGATCATTGTTGAGTTTTCTACCAAGTGTTTGTTTTTATCGTCTTTCCCTCTCCCGTCTAATCTCATGTTAACAAGGCATCTCTCCTCCATCTGAACTGCACTCACTGCCTCTTCTTTATTGGACGCTGATGTGCTTCGGCCTTCTGAAATAGTGGAGAATCTGAAATGCTGCTGATCTGCACACGCTTCATTTAAAACGGTAATTGGAAGTCGTGGAGAACTCAGTGAACTCATGTGTAAAAGCAAACAATCAAAGAGTCCATCTAGATTCAAGCTACTTCCAGAAGAAAGACTGCACGTACGATCATTCCTTACGTACTGGATATTTACAAGTTAAACTATTATTGAAAGAAAGGAGCTTCTTGTAAGTAACTAGTGGAGAAAGATTAACTTTGTGCAACCAATAAAGATTGAAACAAGAGAAAGTGTCGCAATGTCCGCCTCAAATGTCTAGATTCCTGCCTGTCTTGCATTCACCTCGTATTTTGGCTGATCATTGTAGTTTCTTTGCTTTCAGCCGACTGTAGCTGCCTGTCATTCTCCATATGGGCTAATTGTGTATCTTCTACATGTCATTAAACCCTTCCTTAAGTCTCTGCTTTCTCTGCTTTCTCCTCTCTGCTCATATAAGCAGGAAGTCGGTGCAGTTCTTACTTTAACTTGGTTTTGAATAAATATTTGTATATAATATCTTTTAGTGGACATTTTACTTTGACCTTTTCTTCTATATTTTTAACAGATAGAATTGGAGGATGAAACCCTCTTTAATTGCCATCCCTACTGACTGAGACACTGTCTTCAATTTGTATTTATTGTTTTCATCCTAAAATAGATCAACTGTCACAAAAAGCAATTCCACGGGGATATAAAACATATTGATTCACCCCAGTTTAAGGTTTGACTCATCCATTCGAGTAATGACATATATTTGAGAGGTTTGAATGTATTCTAAATAGAAATAGCGCTGGACCTGCTCTTGATGCAGATATTAACGGAGAGAATGTGAGTCTCCGCAGGGCGTCACCGCTGCACTCAGAGACAAAAGGATGAACTCTCTCTCCTCCAGCAGGAAGCGTTTGTCCCTACCTGCAGTCTCACACTCTGTCAGCTCTCATCTCCCTGAGGAGCAGCGAGGGTGAGACAGGCAGACGGAGAGAGAGGAGACTCTGAGGGTGAGACAGGCAGAGAGAGAGAGAGAGGAGACTGAGGGTGAGACAGGCAGAGAGAGAGAGAGAGGAGACTGAGGGTGAGACAGGCAGAGAGAGAGAGAGAGAGAGAAAGAGAGAGAGAGAGAGAGAGGAGACTGAGGGTGAGATAGGCAGAGAGAGAGAGAGAGGAGACTGAGGGTGAGATAGGCAGAGAGAGAGAGAGGAGACTGAGGGGTGAGACAGACAGAGAGAGAGAGAGGAGACTCTGAGGGTGAGACAGGTAGAGAGAGAGAGAGGAGACTCTGAGGGTGAGACAGGTAGAGAGAGAGAGAGAGAGAGGAGACTCTGAGGGTGAGACAGACAGAGAGAGAGAGGAGAGACGCGGAGGGTGAGACAGACAGACAGAGAGAGAGGAGACTCTGAGGGTGAGACAGACAGAGAGAGAGAGAGGAGACTCTGAGGGTGAGACAGGTAGAGAGAGAGAGAGAGAGAGAGAGAGAGAGAAGACTCTGAGGGTGAGACAGACAGAGAGGAGGGGTGAGACAGACAGACAGAGAGAGAGGAGACGCTGAGGGTGAGACAGGAAGAGAGAGAGAGGAGACTCTGAGGGTGAGACAAGCAGACAGAGAGAGAGGAGACTCTGAGGGTGAGACAAGCAGACAGAGAGAGAGGAGACTGAGGGTGAGACAGACAGAGAGAGAGAGAGGAGACACTGAGGGTGAGACAGGAAGAGAGAGAGAGAGGAGACTGAGGGTGAGACAAGCAGACAGAGAGAGAGAGGAGACTCTGAGGGTGAGACAAGCAGACAGAGAGAGAGAGAGGAGACACTGAGGGTGAGACACGAAGAGAGAGAGAGAGGAGACTCTGAGGGTGAGACAAGCAGACAGAGAGAGAGGAGACTCTGAGGGTGAGACAAGCAGACAGAGAGAGAGAGAGGAGACGCTGAGGGTGAGACAGGAAGAGAGAGAGAGGAGACTCTGAGGGTGAGACAAGCAGACAGAGAGAGAGGAGACTCTGAGGGTGAGACAGACAGAGAGAGAGAGAGGAGACACTGAGGGTGAGACAGGAAGAGAGAGAGAGGAGACTCTGAGGGTGAGACAAGCAGACAGAGAGAGAGGAGACTCTGAGGGTGAGACAGACAGAGAGAGAGAGAGGAGACACTGAGGGTGAGACAGGAAGAGAGAGAGAGGAGACTCTGAGGGTGAGACAAGCAGACAGAGAGAGAGAGGAGACTCTGAGGGTGAGACAGACAGACAGAGAGAGAGAGAGAGAGAGAGAGAGAGAAAGAAAGAAGTAGAGACATTACCGCTGAAAGGTCAACGTGAAGTCAGCAGTCTCTTTCCTCTGAATTTTAATGGAGACATGTTTAAAGAGGCCCTATTCTGCTTTTAGGGGGTCTTCCCTTTCCCTGTAGAGTGGTATATATATTTTAATGCATGTAAATGGTCTCCAAGGGCTCAAATCCCTGTGTTGCCCCTGCCTGAAATGCCTCCAATGGACTCCTTTGTTTACTTCCATAATACAGTGACATCACTATGTAACACTCGCGGTTCTGGCTAGCCCTCCAACACATTGTAGGTGATAGACTAAGGGGCGGGACATCAGCAGGAGAGGACTCTTTAAAGTAGAGACATTACATACTGATAAACACCTGAACATCAGCAGGAGAGGACTCTTTAAAGTAGAGACACTACATACTGATATACACCTGAACATCAGCAGGAGAGGACTCTTTAAAGTAGAGACACTACATACTGATATACACCTGAACATCAGCAGGAGAGGACTCTTTAAAGTAGAGACATTACATACTGATATACACCTGAACATCAGCAGGAGAGGACTCTTTAAAGTAGAGACACTACATACTGATATACACCTGAACATCAGCAGGAGAGGACTCTTTAAAGTAGAGACATTACATACTGATATACACCTGAACACCAGCAGGAGAGAACTCTTTAAAGTAGAGACATTACATACTAATATACACCTGAATATCAGCAGGAGAGAACTCTTTAAAGTAGAGACACTACATACTGATATACACCTGAACATCAGCAGGAGAGGACTCTTTAAAGTAGAGACATTACATACTGATATACACCTGAACATCAGCAGGAGGGGACTCTTTAAAGTAGAGACACTACATACTGATATACACCTGAACATCAGCTGGAGAGGACTCTTTAAAGAAGAGACACTACATACTGATATACACCTGAACATCAGCAGGAGAGGACTCTTTAAAGTAGAGACACTACATACTGATATACACCTGAACATCAGCAGGAGAGGACTCTTTAAAGTAGAGACACTACATATAGACCTGAACATCAGCAGGAGAGGACTCTTTAAATTAGAGACACTACATACTGATATACACCTGAACATCAGCAGGAGAGGACTCTTTAAAGTAGAGACAATACATACTGATATACACCTGAACATCAGCAGGAGAGGACTCTTTAAAGTAGAGACACTACATACTGATATACACCTGAACATCAGCAGGAGAGGACTCTTTAAAGTAGAGACACTACATACTGATATACACCTGAACATCAGCAGGAGAGGACTCTTTAAAGTAGAGGCACTACATACTGATATACACCTGAACATCAGCAGGAGAGGACTCTTTAAAGTAGAGGCACTACATACTGATATACACCTGAACATCAGCAGGAGAGGACTCTTTAAAGTAGAGACACTACATACTGATATACACCTGAACATCAGCAGGAGAGGACTCTTTAAAGTAGAGACACTACATACTGATACACCTGAACATCAGCAGGAGAGGACTCTTTAAAGTAGAGACACTACATACTGATATACACCTGAACATCAGCAGGAGAGGACTCTTTAAAGTAGAGACAATACATACTGATATACACCTGAACATCAGCAGGAGAGGACTCTTTAAAGTAGAGACACTACATACTGATATACACCTGAACATCAGCAGGAGAGGACTCTTTAAAGTAGAGACACTACATACTGATATACACCTGAACATCAGCAGGAGAGGACTCTTTAAAGTAGAGACAATACATACTGATACACCTGAACATCAGCAGGAGAGGACTCTTTAAAGTAGAGACACTACATACTGATATACACCTGAACATCAGCAGGAGAGGACTCTTTAAAGTAGAGGCACTACATACTGATATACACCTGAACATCAGCAGGAGAGGACTCTTTAAAGTAGAGACACTACATACTGATATACACCTGAACATCAGCAGGAGAGGACTCTTTAAAGTAGAGACACTACATACTGATATACACCTGAACATCAGCAGGAGAGGACTCTTTAAAGTAGAGGCACTACATACTGATATACACCTGAACATCAGCAGGAGAGGACTCTTTAAAGTAGAGACACTACATACTGATATACACCTGAACATCAGCAGGAGAGGACTCTTTAAAGTAGAGACACTACATACTGATACACCTGAACATCAGCAGGAGGGGACTCTTTAAAGTAGAGACACTACATATAGACCTGAACATCAGCAGGAGAGGACTCTTTAAATTAGAGACACTACATACTGATATACACCTGAACATCAGCAGGGAGAGGACTCTTTAAAGTAGAGACAATACATACTGATATACACCTGAACATCAGCAGGAGAGGACTCTTTAAAGTAGAGACATTACATACTGATATACACCTGAACATCAGCAGGAGAGGACTCTTTAAAGTAGAGACACTACATACTGATATACACCTGAACATCAGCAGGAGAGGACTCTTTAAAGTAGAGGCACTACATACTGATATACACCTGAACATCAGCAGGAGAGGACTCTTTAAAGTAGAGACACTACATACTGATACACCTGAACATCAGCAGGAGAGGACTCTTTAAAGTAGAGACACTACATACTGATATACACCTGAACATCAGCAGGAGAGGACTCTTTAAAGTAGAGACACTACATATAGACATGAACATCAGCAGGAGAGGACTCTTTAAAGTAGAGACACTACATACTGATATACACCTGAACATCAGCAGGAGAGGACTCTTTAAAGTAGAGACACTACATATAGACATGAACATCAGCAGGAGAGGACTCTTTAAAGTAGAGACACTACACACTGATATATACTGAAAATGAAATAAGCTTTTTTTTTAATACATGAATTGTCAACACTACAATATGTTGAAGTGTTTGATCAAAAATATTGTGATATTTCATGTTTCCATTTAGAAGTGTGGTTTGATATTATTTCCAACAACAAACAACAGCATGTACAGAAACGATCAAATAAAACCTGGTTTAGTTAAGCCAGCTTAGCTCCGCTGCTCATGATCACTTCATTATAAGCAGCACTAATTCCTCTTTTCTGTCGGGGGTGTTTGCACCAGCTGAGCTTTTAACAAAGGTCGGAGGAGGCACATTGTTTGATTGATGCACCAGCTGGGGGACGGCCCTCCATCAGGACCCAACATTTTAATGTAGCTTCTGTTCAATCAGATGGGCAGGGAATAGGTTTTATATAGAGAGGGTTTCATCTGTCTTTCAAAAACATGTAGGGTTTTGGGTCAATTAGCACAAAACCAAAGATTATTTTCATGTTTAATCTATAACATATCAGTTTCTTTAGTGACTTCTTGCTTGTTTTGTCTGACAAACATTGTAAAATCCTCAAACTGGACACATATTTCCGCATTTTAGCCAGTAAATGGACTTGATACTGAACTATAAAGCGATTAATCAACCACCTTGTCAGTACTTTTGTATATATTTTATGCTTAATTTGTATATAGTTCATAAGAGATTAATTACAAACATGTCAACATAAAGGTCTAGGTCCAAGCTCTCATGAACGTTAGCATCCCAAGGGCTCCCTCAACAAAAAATCAATAGGACTTTTCCATTGGATTTTGGATAATTGCAAGAAAAAGACCCTGATGAGGAAACAGGAAGTGCTAAAATGCTGACTCACTTCCAGGTTTAGGACTCATTCCTGCACCACAATGCCTCAAGAAGAACCAAGTGATCCATTCCGCTTTATAGGTCAACTACATTAGCAAGGCATTAACACACCTATAGGGTTGGGGGATCAATTCCCAGTAAATAGGTAGCTTTATTTGGACACAATTGGACACTTCTATAGGGTAGGTGTGTCGCAAAATGAATGTAGGTCAATGTGGAAAGCAAGGCATTATCAAACACTGTAATGGTTTAGCTCCCAGTTTAACTCCAATAATTGAGCAAGTCATTGTTACTGAATGGTTTTCCTTGTAAGTCAAAGGGTGGAGCTAATGGCTAAGCTACTATAACACAATTCCTTTGGTGATTAATTAAGCAAGGCATCATCCCCAGAGGGAGTTGGGGGTCAATTTCCACTATATTCTTACTGATTTTAGGGTAAAATACTACATGAAATGCTAGATTAGAGGCAAGTGATGAATAGAATAATTAAGTTTTTTTTTGTTTTATTCTACTGAGATGTTCTCATGTTCAAACCTGAGGCTACTTCTCATTATTAGGGGAATACAATCAGACATTTAACCCAGAATTCAGACTGAAAGGCACATTTCTCTCTAAAACCACCCAAATCCATTTAGAAATCATGAAACGTTGCCATGAAACCGCCTTTAAGATCCCCGGAATGAATATAAAGTGAGATCCTTCCTCTCTGCTTGAATGTCGAGAGGAGCAGCAGATTTAGGGAGGGGTCCGGCTCTTTCATGTCTACAAAAAACCTCCAGGAGAAGCCGGCCGGCGAATCACACCGGCTGATATCACCGTGAACATTTTCCTTTTTTAGCCGGGAACACATGCATTAATATTCGGACACATTCATAATGCTTTGTATGCCGAATACATCGCATATGGGGAGACAAATTAGCTCTTTCTTAATGTTTCGTATCGGTTTACCTCCGTGTGTGTGTGCGGCTCCTCGCATCCCTCCATCTGCGCGGATGAAGAGCAGGGAAGCATTTTCAGGAAAAGATCAAATTGATTATTATTATGGTCCTTCTTTAAACCCAGGCGACGTTATTCAGGTTTATTCTAGCAGCACATGACAGGATCCGAGCCCATTATCCTTTATTTCTCTGCCAAGCACATGGGATGGAGAGCTCGGTGTTTCTGATCCTCCTCCTCCTCTCTGACAGCATCATTTGGTCCCTGAACCCCTCCTCCTCTTCCTCCTCCTATTCCTCCTCTTCTCCCGGTGCTGCAAGTGGACTAAACCATTTTGCAAAGCGAGATCTCATAAAGACACGTTCTGCAAGCTAATTATGTTAGATTTATGTTTGAATGTATTTCCTCTTGCACATCTTCAATTAAGCCCTCAACTAAAATGTCCCTAATTGGGACCAATAAATATATCTATCTATCTATCTATCTAATATTAGACCGCGGTGAAGTTAGTTTCAGGTTGGATGAGCGTCAGTTTTCTCGCTCTATGTTCTCCGCGAAACGAGGCTTTCACTTAGGGACCATCAACAAATGACTTTTCAATGACACAAGAACAATGTTCGTTTTAATACATCGACAGCTTCCCAATCGTGTGAATGTGAAACAAATCCACTCTTGAGCATACATCATGTATTTTGTCTTTTAATGTTGATTTTATTATCTTTGCTTTTGAATGACTGATTTTAAATGCCATTTTCTTAATGTCTTACATTTTTGTAAAGCACTTTGAATTGCCTTGTGTTGAAAGGTGATATATAAATAAACGTGTCTTGCCTTGCCTGTTACGAACTCAGACACTTAGGATGTAGGACCCAATTGCAAGACCCGGGAGACAGAGGTAAAGTATTTGTCAGATACTTTATTTTCCAAAAGAGCATTGAACAACAAAAAAGGTAACTATCAAATCTCTAGCCGAGATGACAACAATAGAGAACAAAAAATGAAAGCACTCACGTAGTGAGGAATCAAAACTTTTCAAGAGTACAAGGAGCATAGACCTGACCATGACAAGAGACAAAAATGAACTGACACTGAACACTGGGAGACAGGGGAATTTAAACACAGGGTAACAGGTGGGAATAATCAGGGGCGGGACTGACGCTGATTAGCACAGGAGACACAGAAGGGGGTGACAGGTGAAAACAATCAGGAATGTAGACACACCAGGGAAACTAACGACAGACATGAAAAGACAGGGGAAAAGAGACCAGACAATATACAGGGAGGAAAACATGACAAGGAGAACAGAAAAACACCCACTACCAGACACACAAACTTACAACTGTGACATTGCCTTACATTTGTTGAACACACCACTTTTAATTAGATTTTGATTCTCATAATAATATTTTATATTTGTATCATTATGGAAACATTAGAATAATGATTCAATGTCAGTACTGGGCTACACTGGCTGCAAAGGACACACCTCTTTTTATTGCATTTTAATACTTTAAATATGTTGTATTAGTATTATTTATGGGAAACATCATATTTCTTCAATAACTTCCAGGTCATGTGAATAGTTGTACTGTTTATTCTATACAAAATAAACCTATTGCATATTGTGCCTGTAATTAAAGGAGTTTAAGGGCTTTTGATAACTCTATTTTTCTTATTATAAATACAAAATGGGTCTGAGAAGAAAAACCTCAGATATCAAACAACCAGTGAGTAAAACTGGATCAGGAGTTTTATTTAACTTTAGGAACCAGACACTTATTTCTTTCTTTATTAAAATTGAAAATATATCCCACATTCCTTGTTAAGTGACTTTTATAACATTGAAGGAACGTTACTCGATTGTTTTTGGTAGATTAATGAATGTTGAAAATATAACTAGTGTACACAAGTACTGTTCTTAATAACTGTTACGGTACGTCCACACTGCAGCGTCACGTGCTTCAACGGAGACGCTTCCCATTCACTTTGAATGGGGTGACGTCACGCTTTGCCGAACTGCAGTGTGGTTCCGTCGCTTTGCCTCCGTTGCTCGCTTCGAAATTGAGACATTTTCAACTTTTCAAGCGTCGACGGAAGCGCTAGCCAATCAAATCAGATGCCAGTACAAGCTCTAGCCCAGGGGTGCCCAATACTTCGATCGCGATCGACCGTAGTGTGGGTAGATCGCAAGGCATTGGAAAAAAATTAAATAAAATAAGTTAGCCTATCATCCATCCTTACTATGACATTTGCCACTTGGTTGACGTACAGGTAAGCCAGTCTGAGATCTCATCTTTTCTAAGACGCAGTTCACCAGCTGCAAATCACCAGCGAGCTGATTATAGTTAGCCTTCCAGTTTATACAATTCTACTAAAGAAAGGGTATAAAATTGACGTAATGCAAGGTACACCAACATAAGGTATCCTCAGTATATATAAATAAATATATGTTTAGCATTCTTAATGTAATGTAATCGCCAGGGAGGTTGCGGGTGCCATCTGGACCGCCCTGATTGAGGAGACCATGCCGGTACCACAGACCGAGGACTGGAGAGCCATCGCTGCTGAGTTCCAGGAGCGCTGGAACTTTCCAAAAATTGTATTGGTGCCATTGATGGGAAGCACGTGGTGATCCAGGCTGCGGCAAATTCATGTTCAACTACCGCCTCAGCCGGGCCAGGTTGGTGGTTGAATGTGCGTTTGGCATCCTCTCATCTTAGTGGAGAATGTTCAGGCGTGTCATCACCACCAGCCCGGAGGTAGTAGAGTTGTGTGTGAAGGCCGCCTGTGTGTTGCACAACTTCCTCCGCAGGAAGACGATAGGAAGGAGATCACGCACACCTATCGCGGAGTCCACGGATGAAGCTCCAGCTACTCCAACCCTGCGTGATGCACCGAGGATGGGCTCCAACAATGCCACACACAGATCCATCCAACTGCGGGAGACCTTCTGCTCCTATTTCAATGAGGAGGGTGCAGTGCCATGGCAGCAGAATGTGGTGTCACCAAACCAAAAGCTCTTTTAAGAGCTATATCTTCTTTACAAATCAAATATTCCAAATGAGCCATTTAAAAATCAAACATTCCTAATAAACATGTTTCTTTAATTGATATTATGATATGACTAACAACCTTTTTCCTTCAGCCCTGTTTTTACTGATAAACCACTCGTAGTTTTCACATGAACAATTACACAGAAGACAGCACATTATATATCGACATACATGAAGCTTCTGGTATGTTGCAACTGACAAACGACATGAACAAGTGAAGACACAGTATAGCCATAACATACTTTAAATACCTTTTATTTATGTAATGTTGTGAGTGAAGTGTGTGATGAGTGTAAAAACATGTAGTATGGATCAGTATGTGTGAATAACAACAAAAAAAAAGGATAAATCAGTTTTCTTCCTCCTCCAGCTCTGCCTCAAAAATAGCTTTGTGAATAGCAAATCTGACTCTTGCCCTCTTTGCTATTGACAGCCTTCTCATTGAAGGCAAGAGGCTCCGGAAAAAATACTCGTCCTCGTCGAAGTCGAAGTGGTGGCATGGAGAGAGGACCGAGGGCTGATAGCAACCCGTTCTCAAAGGACGACATCTCCCTTCTCCTTCTCCCCCGGTCCTCAACATTCTCCTCCTCTTGTCCTGTCTGCCCTGCGTCGGGTGGCTGGCTGGCTGACTGTCACCTAGCTGGCTCTCTTCCTCTGGCACCGGGCTGGAGAGTTGAGGGTCAGGAGTAGTACAGGGGGATGGAGGCAGGGTTTGCAGGGAGACATTGCTGGACGTCTCACGTTCAGTGATAAATGGGGTTAAAAAACCCATCACTGCCGTGAAACGCCAGGGCTTATATTCCCCTGACGACGCTGCCCCGCTTCTTTTGGCTTCTTTATCCCTAGTGGTCTCCCTCCTGAACCTGTCCCTCAGTGACTTCCACCTTGTCCTGCACCCTTCCTCTAATGAAATGAAATAATAAAGTTAATTTCTTGAATTACTTGAATAATTTACTAAATGATTCCTCCATTAATGAAAACCAAATCCCTTTATCACTGTCATTTGCATAAAAGGTTTGACATGTCACACTTTATATGATGAACATTTATGACATTAATGTCTATGGCAGGGTTGCCAACTCTCACGCATCTGGCGTGACACACGCTTTCACTCTGTCTCACGCTCTCACGCCGCCCAAACTATTCTCACGCCAAAAACAAGATGAACCGGTGATCGTTTTTGGTTGGTTATTTACAATGTTGAGTTGACAGCTGCTCAAGCTGTGGATCCGCCCCCACCACTCTTAACAACGTTAACAGACAGCAGAGCAGTGGGAGCCGACCCGTATTGCGCATGCGCAGATCTAAGATCCAGTAGCAATGATAAAAAGTAAAAGTCTGCTGCTTATTGTTCTACTAGGCCAAAATAGAGTCAAAGAGTATATGAGAGTGAGAGTGTGTTAATTAATATATTTGGCAGTTTGGAGTAAGTCTGTAGATTTGTTTGTGTGTGTGTGTTTCATGTATAGGCCTCTCACGATAATTCATTTTGTTGGATACATTTTCCCGGAAATGATTGCGATAAACGATAATATTGTCGGCACCGTTGTTTGACCATTTCAGACCACTGACATAATGATAATATATAATAATAATTCAAGTGCATCCTTTCAAACTGCTAGTCACATCCTCATGTAAATGGCAATTTATCGAGTTCATTTTTATTTATCGTACGATAAGTCAATTAATTGCTTATCGCGACAGGCACACAATAAAACAGTGGAAACAAACATGTGTTTAACTTTCATTACTGAATGAAACGTTGTGCCCTTTATAGTCTGTGTCCAATATTGTCCCGCTACTGACACGATAGCAGTCATTTAGTGCGCATATGCGTAATTAAACCCATGATATCAAAATCTCACTCCAGCCAGGTACCCAAAGTTGGCAACCCTGGTCTATGGTGCTATTTTATGCAACATTCCATGCTGGCTAAATACTTGCTATGCCTGCTAGCTGTCCATTCAAACGAAGTACACTGGATATAAACTCCCCAAACAGGCAAAAACCTACCAGTGTGACCCACTGTCTCTGCCACCTCCCTCCATGCCTGGTTCCTCCGGTGTGTATCCCGGTAGGTAAACATGGACTGGTCGTACAAACCCGGGTGATTCCCTACCGCAACAATTATTTTTTCCTCCATTTTTTGGAACATGAGGAAATGACCTGCGGGATGGCTCTCCCAGCATTCACGCGGTTTGATTGGCTGGCGTTTGTATTCAGATGTGCATACACGGGATTTGATTGGCTGGCGCTTCCTTCGAAGCTTCAAAAGTTGAACTTTTGAAGCGAGCAACGTGAGCACAGCGAAGCGACGGAAGCACAATGCAGTTCGGCAAAGCGTGACGTCACCCCATTCAAAGTGAATGGGAACGCACGCCGCCGTGTGGACGGGAGTTTACTCCGATTTACTACCCACACATATATGAAGAATACATCAATCTAATGTGTTTTTTTAAATATATTTATCCCAGAATATAATAATTAGACCACTGGAAATGAAAGGCAAAGATATTGAGGTGGCTAACGGATTAATGTGTTAGTAATAATGTAGAGATTTGGCATAAAGAAACACTGAAGTGTCCCGTTATGTTGTTTTGGTGCATTTCGTACAATTATCAAATAAATGTTATGAATAGTTTTGACTTTAAAATTACATAGGCTATTGCATATTTTTTTCAGACTCACATGCTTAATTTAGAGATTTTACTGCTTTATTTTTATAGATGTATTTGTACAGTGTAGTATTGCTACTTAACTTTATGGGTCTGTGTCAGGGGCGCCGCTTGCGAACAGGCAAGGCAGGCAACTGCTTGGGGCCCCCAAAGAAGGTAGATAAAGAAGGTCCACAGCAACTACAACATGAAACACCCTTTAATTTCGGGAAACCCCCTCAAGGCGGCTCCATGCATGGCGCGCCGTAAAAAGCTGCTTCTTATCTTAAAGGTGGGGTAGGTAATTTTGGAAAAACCAGCTCGAGTGCGCTAGAATTTGAAAATACACAGCCATTAGGGCAGAAGAAATCTGCTACTTCCTTACAGAGCCCCTCCTCCAACACACACGAACGTGCACATGACCAATGAGGGCACGAGATACGTTTGTGCACAGATGGAAGGCTGACAGGCAGGTAGGCCATCCAGTTACTTTAGCCGGCTCAGATGATTGGTCGTGCTTTTTACAGATGAAATTTGTTATGGACTTTTTGTCAAAGCACTTCAGATTTTCATTGCTATCGGGATGTTGAGAGCATTCCATGGAATATAACAAAAAGTGTATCTTGAGTAGGTTTCTCAAACTTACCTACCCCACCTTTAAGTTTCATTGCCTCTGTCGAATGATCCGCCCTATAAAGAAAATAGTTACAGCATTTGAAAACCTCCTAGAGTGACATTAATGTTTAAATGAGGAATATTACAAGAAAGAAACAATCAGGCCTTTGAACAAATGTGACAAACTTTATTTTTGAGTGCAATTCCAGACAGATTTCACATGGACAAAAATCTCCCTAAAAATAAAATAAAACCAAAGCCCTCCTCCAAAGTCTTTATTCTAACCCCGGAAAACATTTCTGAAAACTACCAGCAACATAAAACTCACACAAACCACCAGAGAGGAAGAAAACAATAACACAAGGATGTCAATCTTGAAGGCTGAGGAGGGAAACACTTTTAGTATTTCTCAAAAATGTGTTTTAAATCTGAAAGATGGGGGGACATTTCTTACTCCTCAGATTCAGAACGGAAGCTGAATGATTTAATGATTGTATTATAGGGTTAAAAGAAGTTCAAACACCTTGAGGTTAAGATCATGTGATCATTCAAAAATCGTTCTTTTCGAATAATTTACGTTTTTGATGCAACATCTGATGCGTTCACGTCAACGTTTTCCATCTCAAAAAGCTCGATTTTGGTCGAGAAACACCGTCGGTTTTAATCTGAATCAGACGGAGATTAAACCTGATATGTGGCAATGAGGCAGATAAAAAAAAAAGCTACGATCCAGCACGATTAAAAGCTCGTTTCACTACATGTGATGTCTGCCACTTCCTGTGTTCTCGCAGACAAAACACGACAAGCGAGAAGATCAATCATGAGGGGGAAGTCGCTCTGAAGCAACAGTACTGATTAGTTCAGTTGCAACATATCCACGTTACATTCCTGCCCAAAAATAGAAATTAAATGACTTGAATCCAGATTATAATTTGCTTAAAATGGAATCTCTCGTTGGCCAGTAACACGTGACGCCGTCCTCACAGAGAGGAGACAGAAAGAAGGTTTTCAAAACTCCACTGACGGGTTTAACTCTGACGAAAGAGAAGCAGAACTAAATAAATACAGTCGTCACATTTTGCCCTGATAGTCTACAGCAAGAACAACGGGAACAACAAAACCCAGTAATGATGATAATAATATTAATAATCTCTGCCTACGTAAAATCAGGGCTGCAATTATTTAAAATAAAATCACTTTGAAAAACCTTTTGCAGAACTGCTTTCATGTTTGTTTGTCTATGTTAAGTTTCTGCCTTTTTAGTGAAAGGTTATTCTGGGTATGAAATGTTTTGTGTGAAAGCAACTCCGTTGAAAGACGTCTACATAAATACATTGTATAATTATTAATATTATTATAATTATTATCTAAGGATGTTTTTTCGCGCAGCTGGATTTCCACCTGCGTCCCATCTTCTTTGCAGTTTTTCTTCTCAGCACTTCTTCAATCAGTTGAGACCAAACAAACACACACTCTTTCTCACACTCTCTCTCTCTCTCTCTCTCTCACACACACACACACACACACACACACACAGTCACAAGTCTACACCAGTTTCTTGGCCTCGAAGAAGCTCTTGAGGTGTCTCATCTGCCAGATGCCGATGGCCACGAGGATGAGGGTCTGGACGATGGACCACCAGAGGACGCGCTGGTTCGTGCTCTCACTCGTCTGCCGGAAACGCTCCTCACGGTACTGAGGACACACACACAATATATTAGACAGTATTCATGTGTTAAAAAACCCACTTTTCAAATAAATTCTGTCAATTAAAGTTGGGGAAAATGTCAAACAAATCTTAGTTGATTAGAAAAAGCCTTATTTCCATAACAAGCTTGAAATCTACCCTTCATATTTCCTCTTTTTATAATCAATCTGAAGCTTCTGTTTTAAGGGACGAGCTGCCAACACGTCTTATAACTAAATAAAGTAAACCCTCTGGAGAGCTGGGATTTAGGCTGTTGGGTTTCTTAAAGCATGTTCAAGTATCAAGCATCATTGACCTACATTTGATTGATTTTCTAACTGAACTAATGAGGCAGTATACCTCTAGTGAGCGGCCCGGCCTTTCGTATATTTTTCTGTGCGTGGCCCTCTGTGAAAAAAGTGTGGACACCCCTGACTTACTCCCACCTCTAGTATGTATACCTATAAGTATGTATAAGTAATAATGTTAATGTAGTAGTATTATGCGTAATAATCTAAAAATATTCACTTTCAAATGGAGTTCAAACGTCTTAAACAACTCCTGTCCCTCCTTCTGTGTCCCATGTTGGATGTCCCTTTAACTACCATGCTTTAGTACTGGTACTGACTGTTGTGAAAATACTGAATGTCCTCTTCCAACGTGAGAGTAATGGCGCATTTCCACTGCAGCGGGTAGCCCCGTTTAAGCGTCCTTAATCGTCCTCAAGCGGCCAGGCCAGTTTTTGGTGGCCTTTCCATATAGCCTAGTACCGGCTAGCGGGTACTTTTTCCCTCTTTTTCCGGCCCCATAAAATCGTGGTTCTATCAGGCCAGGCCAGGGCTGAACTAGTGACGTCAACACTCTCGACTGCTGATTGGTCAGAGAGAATCGTCACAAGATCGCGCGCGACTTCATCCCTAGCGTCGCAAATATATTTAGAAGCAAGCTTGCAGCATTTTTATACACAGCATTTTGTAAACGGAGGAGCTACAAAAATGGCAACGTCAAAGAAAAGCACACCGTGGTCGACCGAGGAGGTGACGACGTTCCTACATCTCATTGGGGATGATCAAATCCAGCGGGAGCTTGACGGAACAACTCGAAATGTGAACAAAAACAAAGCCGAACGCCCCGCCTACACTGCGTTGCTACCCCAGGTCCTAAACTGTAATGGAAATGCGCCACGGCCTCGGACGGCCAGCGAGGCAGCCCGAGGCCTGAGCGAGGACGCTTAGGGACGCTTAAACGGGGCTACCCCGCTGCAGTGGAAATGCACCATAACATGATAACAAAGGTATCTCAACTGGAGCTGTGAACATAACAGGATGTGTGATTACCTAGAAGAGCATCAGGACTGTTTGAGGCATATGATAGCTATGTGATTAACATGATGATTCAGCCTCTATGGAGAGAGACATCAAGCATGCTCATTTCTGACGTGGAGCTAATCTGAAGTAAACATTGAATACTGCTTTCTATTCCTCCATCTTGTGACTGTGTAACTCCCTCTCTTGGATATCAGCATGTGAAGGACACTGTTCAGGAACTAGTTGATGCTCTGTATGTGATGACTCCTTCCATTCTGGAGAGCACAGATACATGGATCCTGAGGTTGAAGCTCAAGCCGGAGACCAGTGAGATTTTCCTAACACTGACCCTCTGGTAGTTCTGCTCCTTCTGGATCTGGTCCACCTGCTCCACCAGCTGTCTGACTCTCAGCTGCAGCTCCGTCAGCTTGTCTTTAGCAGCGATCTCAGCGTAGTTGTTGGCGTGTTCCCCCACCTGGATGTCCAGGTGAACCCTCTGCAACACAACGAGCATTTAGAGAGGGGCAGCAAGGAGTCACAAAACTAACGGTTCTGTCTGCTGCAGGTCTAAAACCACCAGACTCAGGGACCGTTCACCCCACAGGCCATAAGACTGATAAACACCTGAGCTGTTCAATCAATCAATGTTTATTTTTATAGCCCAATATCACAAATGTTACATTTGTCTCAGTGGACTTTAGTTTGTACAAAATATCAGTATGACAATAGCTGTTGAAACAACATCCATAACATCTGTTCGCAACTTACAAATTATTTATCTAATATATCATATTCCAATTACTTGTAGACTCTACTTGCACTATTTCTATTCTAGTTTATTTGTATTTACTTGCAATATTTTTAACCGTTTTATTGTGTTGCACTGTTGTACTTGAGTAAAAGTAGAAGTACTCAGATCTTGTAGTAAAAGTAGAAGTACTCAGACCTTGTACTTGAGTAAAAGTAGAAGTACTCAGATCTGGTACTTGAGTAAAAGTAGAAGTACTCAGACCTTGTACTTGAGTAAAAGTAGAAGTACTCAGATCTTGTACTTGAGTAAAAGTAGAAGTACTCAGATCTGGTACTTGAGTAAAAGTAGAAGTACTCAGGTCTTGTACTTGAGTAAAAGTAGAAGTACTCAGATCGTGTACTTGAGTAAAAGTAGAAGTACTCAGACCTTGTACTTGAGTAAAAGTAGAAGTACTCAGATCTTGTACTTGAGTAAAAGTAGAAGTACTCAGATCTGGTACTTGAGTAAAAGTAGAAGTACTCAGACCTTGTACTTGAGTAAAAGTAGAAGTACTCAGGTCTTGTACTTGAGTAAAAGTAGAAGTACTCAGATCTGGTACTTGAGTAAAAGTAGAAGTACTCAGACCTTGTACTTGAGTAAAAGTAGAAGTACTCAGATCGTGTACTTGAGTAAAAGTAGAAGTACTCAGACCTTGTACTTGAGTAAAAGTAGAAGTACTCAGGTCTTGTACTTGAGTAAAAGTAGAAGTACTCAGATCTGGTACTTGAGTAAAAGTAGAAGTACTCAGACCTTGTACTTGAGTAAAAGTAGAAGTACTCAGATCTTGTACTTGAGTAAAAGTAGAAGTACTCAGATCTGGTACTTGAGTAAAAGTAGAAGTACTCAGGTCTTGTACTTGAGTAAAAGTAGAAGTACTCAGATCGTGTACTTGAGTAAAAGTAGAAGTACCAGAGTGTAGGAATACTCTGTTTCAGTAAAAGTCCTGCATTCAAAATGTTCCTCAAGTGAAAGTAGAAAAGTATTCTCATCAAAATATAGTGAAAGTAGCGACAGTAAAAGTAGTCGTTGTGCAGATTGGTCCATTTCAGAATAATATATATGATATGTTTTATAATGATTGATCATGAAAGTGTTCTCAAAGCTGGTGAAGGTGCAGCTAGTTTGAATGACTAGTTTTTAACGTGCTTCTACAGAAACTATATTTAAATCAGCTCTGGAGTCTCCTCACCAGCATGCCTCCGGCGAACAGAGCGAACTTGGAGGAGTTGGAGTGAAGGCAGATCTGATGCTCTCCAGGTGTGTGAGAGGTGAAGGTGAAGCGGCCCTCTGAGCCGTACTGCCGCGACAGGATCACCTGACACACACACACACACACACACACACACGATTAATAATCTGTATTTGTATAGCACCTTTCGTACAACAAGTGCAGTCCAAGGTGCTTCACATAGACATTTCACAGAACATGTATATCACACAGAATACAGTCACCACTAAGAGACATAGAGTAGACATATACAAAATACATTTAGATTAAACTATGAAATTGTGTATTAAAAGGAGGATAGTGCAAATTCAACACACAATCAGGTGACAGGTTCAAATGCATCGCAATGCATTGAGAAAGTGCAGCAGAGAGCAGGAGTGTGCTTCATGTTGGGAAAACACTGAACGTCCTCTTCCAACATGAGAGTAACTTGATAACAAAGGTATCCCAACTGTAGCTGTGAACATGACAGGATGTGTGATTACCTAGAAGAGCATCAGGACTGTTTGAGGCATATGATAGCTATGTGATTAACATGATGATTCAGCCTCTATGGAGAGAGACATCAAGCATGCTCATTTCTGACGTGGAGCTAATCTGAAGTAAACATTGAATACTGCTTTCTATTCCTCCATCTTGTGACTGTGTGACTCCCTCTCTTGGATATTGTAGAGGAAACTTCTGTGTAGCATGCAATGGAGTCACCGACTCAGGAAGGAGACACGGGAAGAGTCGGAGCTTTGATGTCAAACCACTGTGATTTATTTGGAGTTGGTACCAGAGTATTCACATCACAAGTCCAAGAGTCAGAGGTTCTGACTCCACGGTAGAGTTGCCACGTCAATTCTGGAGAGCCTCTCTCTTGCCAGCCCATCTAACTGGTTTCGCAGAGAGTAAACAACATATTTGAGAAGATAGCCTAAACAGTGTGGGAACACTGAGCTACTTGCGTCGGACACTTATGACCTCGAAGATTTTACCTTGGAGTCCACAAATACAGAGAAGGAAGTGTCCCAGTGTACCCACAACACAGACCATCTGTGACCCAGTATTGACCGGTCACAGAATGGGAACAATAACATTATTGGCTAAGCAGCCTGTGTCCTTAAAGAAGGTAAACAGACATCAAGGTTTGTCCTGTATGTTACTAATTGGCGTCTATGATAATTATTTCCATAACAGATATCAGCATGTGAAGGACACTGTTCAGGAACTACTTGATGCTCTGTATGTGATGACTCCTTCCATTCTGGAGAGGATCACAGATACATGGATCCTGAGATTCAAGCTGAAGTTGGTGACAAGTGAGATTTTTCTAACATTATGTTTGTCACCTTGTCGTCGGGATCTTTGACCTCCACGAACATCCCGAGGCCCTGCGTGGCCGGAAGATACTCCTCCCGCTGTTTGTCGTACAGCTGAGTGCGGTAGTTACCTGGAAGCACAGGGAGAGGTCTGGGGTTCATGGAGGAGGACTATTTTACGAATGGACTAATGTTTAAAAGTTCCCCTATTATACTGTCTTTCATCAATATATCACAGGTCTCAGATATATCCAGAGCCTGTCTCTGATTGGCTGAAACACCAAACAGATCATTGCAGCATTACCCATAATCCCCTCTGTTTCCAAAGTGCTGATTCTCTGTCTGTTACTTTAGATGAAAATAAGGAGCCCCTCCCCACGCCCCTCTGAGAGACATTTGGTTACAAAGAACTCAATGGAGCTCTAGAGGAGATTCAGGTGATAAGGGGGGGGGGGGGGGGGGGGGGGTTACCTTGGTTGCTGATTGGCTAATGGTTACACAAGACAACACATCGTTATGACATAAAGTGGCCAAAATCTGATCAGCTCATTTTCAGACAGGTACAAATCCAGGGAACAGAAATAAGTAGAAGCATACTAAAACTTCTTAAACTTAACTTAAATAAGCGAACATGTAACATTATGAGGTAGCACCAGGTGACAACATTAATAGTATGTTGGAATAAAAAAAGTGTATATTGCAAATGGCATCTCTTCAACAGTAGTGTGACTGTCTCAGTGGAGGGGCAGAAACATATTCCCTTTTTACAGTCCACATATATATTATACTGTGGACTGCTTAATTGTACATTCTGCCTTATTATAAGGGTAAGTGTATATATATTATAAGGGTAAGTGTACTCAGTGTGATAGGTATACAAAGTGAGACAGCTGTGTCATGATTTGGCCCGTTTGTACATTTTTCAATAATAAATATGCACTTTCTTTTACAAAGTTTTATGAGCATGTATATATACGGAAAGTTAGGGGATACAAAGTGCTTTTAAGAGCCACACAAATAAATGAGAATCTTGGTTCTTGGTTACTTCAATAACTTAAATAACTTCTACTCTTTCTTTGCCGTCATTGCGCAGACTCCATTTGAAATAAAAAGTAAACCCAAGATAATTAAGCAACTTGTTGAAGTGCTTTCATTTGAACAGCTGTTGCTTTATTTGCACAAACAGGTGAACTGAGGTTGGTCACTTATAACCTTGTTCTTCACCAGAAGAGTTGACATGAGGGCTTTGCAACATGACATTAAGCTAGATATAGTTTTACATTTGTAATATACTAATAGTGTTAGGGTTACCTACTCAGTCAATGAATCCATTTTACTTACAATTCTTTGTCAGAATTCTCATTGTGTAAGTATTTTTTGAAAGCACCAATAGTCTAACCTGCAATACTGATGGAGTTATTTAATACAAATGATCTTAGTGTTGTACTTTCTTAACATCTCCCAGGCAGCCCTTGTTGACTTTGTGAAACATGACTCCAACATATTGAACTCTCGTTCTAAACATGAGTTTCATTAGTTTTTGAAATGGTGATTAAATATAAAATGTCCTTACATGATGATTAGGGTGAGTCCAGAGAAGTACAAACTGAATATTTAGATACATAAACAAAGATGTAGCTACTGAAATGTGACTTTAAATGCTGCTTCAATCAAGATTAAACTCGGGAGGAAAGATGCAAGTATAAAAGTAGTGTTTAATGTCTGATTAACTAATGTGAGTGACTATGTGTGTCTACATACTGAGCTGTAAATCAACACATCAGCACTACAGGTCCGTGTGTGAACTCAGTTAGCCGACTAGCTAATATTAGCTCAAGTTGGTGAGCTAGTTAGCATTAGCACATTAACCGGTTGACTTCCTCTCCTCACTCACCGATAATCATCGTCTCGTCCGGGATCTCCTCGATGAAGCATTTCTTCTCGGTCTCTCCGATGTGGAAGTACAAAGAGGAGACGACGCTGTAGAAAACGTTCAGGAGTAAAACCGACAACACACACGACCGCATCCTGACAGACACCATCACAGCAGAGAGAGAGAGACTGCGCATGCGCGGACACAGCAGTGCCACGTAAACCCTCGTTTAAGTCTGGCCAATCAGCGCGCCGTATGGGCATGCTGGGTGTTGTAGTTTTCTGTGCGTTGGGACCATACAGTCTATGGTTGGGACATATGAGAACAGAACAACTAATTCACACAGGAGGAAGACAGGAGATGGATTGCACGTGGAATCAAATAACATAAGCCAAACATATAAATAAATACACACTTTTTTGAGGAATTGAAAGTAAATTTGTTCTAAATGTTGTCGTATCACATACAAGGCTACCAAGCAAAGTATGGTGGTCGACTCTGCGTTAAAAAGGTAAAGGTACAAATTCACCAACAAATCTTCACAGCACGATCGTTGTGCGTTCAAAGTTAAATTATATTATGGTGGCATTGAGGTCTAAGCATTTGGTGTTACATGTGGGGGGGCCAGGATCAATGCCTGGGAGTAACATGTTATGTCTTCAGGTATTCTAAAATGTACTTTAAATGTACATTATATATCTATGTTAAATCATGTTGATTGTGTTAGTGTACGCACAGCATGGATGAGCTGCTTAATGCAAGTATGAAGAATAGTATGAGTGATTGCACATAGATAAGGTAAAATAAAACAATTACTGAGCCAAAACATGTATCGATCTATCCATCTGTCTATATATCTGTCTATATATCTAGTAGTCCCACATACAGCCTGTAAGGGGCAGTAAAGCAAAACTGCTGCGGGTTGAACCTAACCCCGAAGAAGGGGCTCTTCCGCCCAAGCTGTTTCCATGGCAATCGAACATGGCGCCGGGTGAGTCACACTCTCTGTGCCTAAACACATTTATACATTTATACAAATAATAATAACTAGTATATTGAACTAACGTTATTTACTACTTTAACGGTTTGTTGTTAAGATTACCTTGCGACAGAAACAGGAGAGAAAATGTCCCCTTGTTATTGTCAGCTGTTAGCATGTTAGCTTGTGATTTAATCAGACTTCTTTATAATTATAGTCTATATAACTTATACACAGAGATGGAAGAAGTACTCAGATGTTGTACTTGAGTAAAAGTAGAAGTACTCAGATGTTGTACTTGAGTAAAAGTAGAAGTACTCAGATCTTGTGCTTGAGTAAAAGTAGAAGTACTCAGATCTTGTGCTTGAGTAAAAGTAGAAGTACTCAGATCTTGTAGTAAAAGTAGAAGTACTCAGGTCTTGTACTTGAGTAAAAGTAGAAGTACTCAGATCTTGTGCTTGAGTAAAAGTAGAAGTACTCAGGTCTTGTACTTGAGTAAAAGTAGAAGTACTCAGATCTTGTACTTGAGTAAAAGTAGAAGTACTCAGATCTTGTGCTTGAGTAAAAGTAGAAGTACTCAGATCTTGTGCTTGAGTAAAAGTAGAAGTACTCAGATCTTGTACTTGAGTAAAAGTAGAAGTACTCAGATCTTGTAGTAAAAGTAGAAGTACTCAGGTCTTGTACTTGAGTAAAAGTAGAAGTACTCAGATCTTGTGCTTGAGTAAAAGTAGAAGTACTCAGGTCTTGTTCTTGAGTAAAAGTAGAAGTACTCAGATCTTGTGCTTGAGTAAAAGTAGAAGTACTCAGGTCTTGTACTTGAGTAAAAGTAGAAGTACTCAGATCTTGTACTTGAGTAAAAGTAGAAGTACTCAGATCTTGTGCTTGAGTAAAAGTAGAAGTACTCAGATCTTGTGCTTGAGTAAAAGTAGAAGTACTCAGATCTTGTAGTAAAAGTAGAAGTACTCAGGTCTTGTACTTGAGTAAAAGTAGAAGTACTCAGACCTTGTGCTTGAGTAAAAGTAGAAGTACTCAGATCTTGTGCTTGAGTAAAAGTAGAAGTACTCAGATCTTGTGCTTGAGTAAAAGTAGAAGTACTCAGATCTTGTGCTTGAGTAAAAGTAGAAGTACTCAGATCTTGTGCTTGAGTAAAAGTAGAAGTACTCAGATCTTGTAGTAAAAGTAGAAGTACTCAGGTCTTGTACTTGAGTAAAAGTAGAAGTACTCAGATCTTGTGCTTGAGTAAAAGTAGAAGTACTCAGGTCTTGTACTTGAGTAAAAGTAGAAGTACTCAGATCTTGTGCTTGAGTAAAAGTAGAAGTACTCAGATCTTGTGCTTGAGTAAAAGTAGAAGTACTCAGATCTTGTACTTGAGTAAAAGTAGAAGTACTCAGATCTTGTAGTAAAAGTAGAAGTACTCAGGTCTTGTACTTGAGTAAAAGTAGAAGTACTCAGATCTTGTGCTTGAGTAAAAGTAGAAGTACTCAGGTCTTGTACTTGAGTAAAAGTAGAAGTACTCAGATCTTGTACTTGAGTAAAAGTAGAAGTACTCAGATCTTGTGCTTGAGTAAAAGTAGAAGTACTCAGATCTTGTGCTTGAGTAAAAGTAGAAGTACTCAGATCTTGTACTTGAGTAAAAGTAGAAGTACTCAGATCTTGTGCTTGAGTAAAAGTAGAAGTACTCAGATCTTGTGCTTGAGTAAAAGTAGAAGTACTCAGATCTTGTAGTAAAAGTAGAAGTACTCAGGTCTTGTACTTGAGTAAAAGTAGAAGTACTCAGATCTTGTGCTTGAGTAAAAGTAGAAGTACTCAGGTCTTGTACTTGAGTAAAAGTAGAAGTACTCAGATCTTGTACTTGAGTAAAAGTAGAAGTACCAGAGTGTAGGAATACTCTGTTACAGTAAAAGTCCTCATTCAAAATGTTCCTCAAGTGAAAGTAGAAAAGTATTCTCATCAAAATATAGTGAAAGTAGCGACAGTAAAAGTAGTCATTGTGCAGATTGGTCCATTTCAGAATAATATATATATATGTTTTATAATGATTGATCATGAAAGTGTTCTCAAAGCTGGTGAAGGTGCAGCTAGTTTGAATGACTTTGTATACTGCAGGGCAGCTGGTGGATTTACTCCAGGTGGAACTAAAGTCTGATTCAACACTTGATTATATTTCACATCATTCATCCACATCTGTGAAGTAACTAAAGGTATTAAATACATGTAGTGGAGTAGAAGTACACCATGTACCTCCTAAATTTACCTTTAGTGGAGTGGAAGTACAAAGTAGCATAACATTGAATTACTCAAGTAAAGTACAAGTACCTCAAAGGAGTATCTAGGAACACACACTATAACATATACAGAATTCATTTGAATACTCTCCAATATAAACCAATCTACTAAAGGGACAGAGACATATATATATATATATATATACATAGTACTCCAAAAATAAAAAATGTGGTGCATTTGAATACATCTTTAGATCAGAATGACAATACTTCATATATCCCAGGGAGTAATTGGGTTTTCTTGACAGTTGCACCATATATATATATATATATTAAAATAAAACAATCATGTTTATATAAAAATAAGAAGCTAGAGTGAATGAGCACATTGTACAACTTATAACCACTATTAATCATATCATTGTATCTTCTTCTCTGCAGGGAGCCAACCAATTGTATCCTACTTATGAAATTGATGCACACACCGATCTGTTTAATTGTGTGTGTTTACTACGCTCCTCTGTTGTCCTTGACTCCTTCTCCCTCAGCTGTCGTCCACTCCTCTGCAAGTCCTCCTCTACCTGAACATCTGGTACTTCGCTGCCTTCTACCTGGCAGAGATCCTGATGTTCATCTATAAAGGTCTGTCAGAACATGTCACACCTCCACACGTCTGAAAAGCCGTTACTGTGAGATGAGACAAACCTTGTGACGAAGACACTGGATTGCTCTGAAGCCATTGTGCTGAGATGTTTTAGTAGAGCAGCACCATCTGCTGGGGAAACCTTCACATTACACTTCATCGTTATTGTGGACCACTGCACCGATGAATAACAAAATGAAGCTTCAAGTATTAGGAACATTTCAGTTTGTATTCATTAAAGTGAATCAACAATGGATCAGGAAACCAAAGTGCATACTGCGAGTACATTGTACAAAGTTTAGACACAGTAAAGTGTATATAATACAAAAAAGGTCCCAGAGATTCAGGATTTGGTCACATTTTATTCCCTTAAAAAGTTCCCCTATTATACAGTTTCTCATCAATATATCACAGGTCTCAGATATATACAGAGCCTGTCTCTGATTGGCTGAAACACCAAACAGATCATTGCAGCATTACCCATAATCCCCTCTGTTTCAGCCCTGTTTCCAAGTGCTGATTCTCTGTCTGTTACTTTAGATGAAAGTAAGGAGCCCCTCCCCACGCCCCTCTGAGAGAGATGTGGTTACAAAGAACACAATGGTGCTCTAGGAGGGGGGGGGGGGGGGGGTTACCTTGGTTGCTGATTGGCTAATGGTTACACAAGACAACACATCGTTATGACATCACAAAGTGACCAAAATCTGATCAGCTCATTTTCAGACAGGTTTTTATAGAAATGGATCAAAAGAGAGAGAATCTTTGTTCCTGAAACTTTCAGAGTCTCTTTCCACAGAGGGGACACATGTTGATGTAGAAGAGACATTGATAGAAGAATGAGAGGGGACACATGTTGATGTAGAAGAGACATGAAGAAGGGGGACACATGTTGATGTAGAAGAGACATGAAGAAGAGGGGACACATGTTGATGTAGAAGAGACATGAAGAAGAGGGGACACATGTTGATGTAGAAGGAGACATGAAGAAGAGGGGACACATGTTGATGTAGAAGAGACATGAAGAAGAGGGGACACATGTTGATGTAGAAGAGACATGAAGAAGAGGGGACACATGTTGATGTAGAAGAGACATGAAGAAGAGGGGACACATGTTGATGTAGAAGAGACATGAAGAAGAGGGGACACATGTTGATGTAGAAGAGACATGAAGAAGAGGGGACACATGTTGATGTAGAAGAGACATGAAGAAGAGGGGACACATGTTGATGTAGAAGAGACATGAAGAAGAGGGGACACATGTTGATGTAGAAGAGACATGAAGAAGAGGAGGACACATGTTGATGTAGAAGAGACATGAAGAAGAGGGGACACATGTTGATGTAGAAGAGACATGAAGAAGAGGGGACACATGTTGATGCAGAAGAGACAAGGAAGAAGAGGGGACACATGTTGATGTAGAAGAGACATGGAGAAGAGGGGACACATGTTGATGTAGAAGAGACATGGAGAAGAGGGGACACATGTTGATGTAGAAGAGACATGAAGAAGAGGGGACACATGTTGATGTAGAAGAGACATGGAGAAGAGGGGACATAGGTAGAAGAGACATGAAGAGAGGGACACATGTTTGATGTAGAAGAGACATGAAGAAGAGGGGACACATGTTGATGTAGAAGAGACATGAAGAAGAGGGGGCAACATGTTGATGTAGAAGAGACATGAAGAAGAGGGGACACATGTTGATGTAGAAGAGACATGAAGAAGAGGGGACACATGTTGATGTAGAAGAGACATGAAGAAGAGGGGACACATGTTGATGAAGAAGAGACATGAAGAAGAGGGGACACATGTTGATGTAGAAGAGACATGAAGAAGAGGGGACACATGTTGATGTAGAGAGACATGAAGAAGAGGGGACACATGTTGATGTAGAAGAGACATGAAGAAGAGGGGACACATGTTGATGTAGAAGAGACATGAAGAAGAGGGGACCACATGTTGATGAAGAGAGACAATGAAGAAGAGGGGACACATGTTGATGTAGAAGAGACATGAAAGAGAGGGGACCCATTTGATGTAGAAGAGACATGAAGAAGAGGGGACACATGTTGATGTAGAAGAGACATGAAGAAGAGGGGACACATGTTGATGTAGAAGAGACATGAAGAAGAGGGGACACATGTTGATGAAGAAGAGACATGAAGAAGAGGGGACACATGTTGATGAAGAAGAGACATGAAGAAGAGGGGACACATGTTGATGAAGAAGAGACATGAAGAAGAGGGGACACATGTTGATGAAGAAGAGACATGAAGAAGAGGAGACACATGTTGATGTAGAAGAGACATGAAGAATAGGGGACACATGTTGATGTAGAAGAGACATGGAGAAGAGGGGACACATGTTGATGAAGAAGAGACATGAAGAAGAGGGGACACATGTTGATGTAGAAGAGACATGAGAAGAGGGGACACATGTTGATGTAGAAGAGACATGAAGAAGAGGGGACACATGTTGATGTAGAAGAGACATGAAGAAGAGGGGACACATGTTGATGTAGAAGAGACATGAAGAAGAGGGGACACATGTTGATGTAGAAGAGACATGAAGAAGAGGGGACACATGTTGATGAAGAAGAGACATGAAGAAGAGGGGACACATGTTGATGTAGAAGAGACATGAAGAAGAGGGGACACATGTTGATGTAGAAGAGACATGAAGAAGAGAGGACACATGTTGATGTAGAAGAGACATGAAGAAGAGGGGACACATGTTGATGAAGAAGAGACATGGAGAAGAGGGGACACATGTTGATGTAGAAGAGACATGAAGAAGAGGGGACACATGTTGATGTAGAAGAGACATGAAGAAGAGGAGACACATGTTGATGTAGAAGAGACATGAAGAAGAGAGGACACATGTTGATGTAGAAGAGACATGAAGAAGAGGGGACACATGTTGATGTAGAAGAGACATGAAGAAGAGGGGACACATGTTGATGTAGAAGAGACATGAAGAAGAGGGGACACATGTTGATGTAGAAGAGACATGAAGAAGAGGGGGACACATGTTGATGTAGAAGAGACATGGAGAAGAGGGGACACATGTTGATGTAGAAGAGACATGAAGAAGAGGGGACACATGTTGATGTAGAAGAGACATGAAGAAGAGGGGACACATGTTGATGTAGAAGAGACATGAAGAAGAGGGGACACATGTTGATGTAGAAGAGACATGAAGAAGAGGGGACACATGTTGATGTAGAAGAGACATGAAGAAGAGGGGACACCTGTTGATGTAGAAGAGACATGAAGAAGAGGGGACACATGTTGATGTAGAAGAGACATGAAGAAGAGGGGACACATGTTGATGCAGAAGAGACATGAAGAAGAGAGGACACATGTTGATGTAGAAGAGACATGATTTTGCACAATAGGTGACCTTTAAGGTGAATCAACAATGATCAGGAAAACAAAGTGCATACTGAGAGTACATTGTATAAAGTTTAGACACATAATACAAAAAAGGTCCCAGAGATTCAGGATTTGATCACATTTTATCTCCTTAAAATCTAATGTTTCTACTTCCTCCGTCTTGAACTAATGTTTATTGCTGATATTCATACATATTTCTTGTTCCTGTGTGTAGGGATTATTCTGCCCTACCCGTCTGATAACCTGGTTCTGGACGTGGTGCTGCTGCTGCTCTTCCTCGGCCTGGAGACTCTCAGGATCTTTTACGGTGAAAAATAATAATAATCTAACTGTACCTGAACTACCTTTTAAATAAGGATGCATATTATTATTACATTACATTATGGCCACTTTATGATGTCATAACGATTTATTACATTTCCACAGATCTGCATGCTCTGCTCTTTGCTGCCACCGTGTGGGCAAACGCAATATTACACTCACAAAACTCCAGATAGAGTGCTAGGATGTTGTATTTATCTAGTGGACCCTTAAAGAGCCTGTGACAGCATCCCAACAACTGTTGTGCAATGAAATATTGGGCTACTAGTCATCTCGAACCGTCAGTTTAAAAAAGAAAAAGCGATACCGTTCCGTTAAATATCAATAATTTCGAACATCGCGGGGAAATTCCTTCGACTCATGTTGAAGTTTTGGGGGAAGCCGGAAGTGACGTCAATGCGGGAACGCTTCACTGTGCGGCGAGAGAGCCAAACACGGACAATGTGTGTTGTCATGCGTAGAAATGGTGAATTACTGAGTTTAGGCACGTTAATAACGTTTTAATGAAGTTGACTACAGTATATTCATATTTGTCAGTGCTTTCATGTCAATTCGGCGAACATAAACATACATGATCGTGGTGAAGATGATTACATTAGGATTACAAATCGGAGCTGCTGAATTTCCTCCCGTAGGATGTGATATAAAAACAAATGGATTATTTTTGTAGTTGTAAACTCAAGTGGATGAAACTACATGAATTAGTGCTTTCATGTCAATTCGGCGAACATATGATACATTAAATGATCGTGAGAATGATGATTAAAAATCGTTTGTTTCTGCATTTCCTGATGAGAAAACCACCCGATGCTTGTTGTAGTTGTAGTACACCAACATGGATTAAACGTCTGGTTTTTTCACCACAATGTTGGGAAATTAATGGATACAATGCACGGATTATTATTATTCCCACTCCGATCGGGACACTAGGTCCACCGTTTCCCCGCAGCGAGGCTCCCCCCGTTGACAGTTTACCTGGCTGGGTGCAGTCGCGGACTGGCCATCGGGACGAATCCCGATGGGCCGGTACCGAAGTGGGCCGGTCGGATAAGTCACTGCACATCCCCCATAGGCGGCGCGTGAGGCTCAGGTTTGGGAAGGCTAAATCACTTGTTTTACCTGACGCTGCCCGCCTCCGGCGTCTATAGAAAAGAGATCAGCTCAGTGTGCGGAGTTTAAATCTCTCAAGTCATATTACAGGAAAAAGGAAATACAGCTTAAACTGCCGTATGCAGAGAAGACGCCGACGTGTCGCACTTATCATTCATATTACATCATCAATCAGATCATCGATCATATAATATCATAATAAATCATATATTTCTTTATCTGAGTCAGCTTCTCCAGCCGTATCTGGCCGTGCAACACTTACAGTGTCACATACTGTATGCAGAAGTATTATTTTTAGCAACACATTATGTTGACGAAACACTCGAGTCAAATGTAATTAAAGTCAGATCCACTCCTGTTTTAGACGTGAACGCGCTCTCAGCTGGAGAGAGAAACCCTGGCTTGATTTACCGAGTTGATAACCAGCGTCGTAGGACCGCTTAGCGAGATCTCGTTTGTTAGTTTGTTTGCTACTCAAACATATCCAGGGTCTGTTGAACTGGCTTCGTAGCACAGGGCACAGGTGGCTAGCAGCGCTAATGTCAAAGACACAGACATTATAGGTATTTTATAGGTATTTTACCAGGATGCAGTGACACAAATATTTACATATTTACATTTACTATCTACAGCACCCGCCGCCCCTGACATCCCCCACTCCCCCCGTTGACAATTTACTAGCGGTACCGAAGTGGGCCGGTCGAGAGTCCCGGGATGATTTTTAGTCCCACTGGCTACATGACCGTATGATCGCCCATATTGACGCACCTAATTCCTAAACTTCTAACAGATACAACATAAACCGATCCTTCAGCCTCATATGAGCTCTCAGACACGTTCAACATTAAACTGTCATCGCTGTCATCGCTTGCTGCTGTGTGCGCCATCGTGCGTTTACATGCAGATGCTGGGATCCTGAACGGTGCAGCTGGAGCGCTGTGCCCGCAATGACGTCACACATAATTTGGCGGGACTTGAAGAATCCCCGAGAAGATCCAGGAAATGGTCAACATTGAAGGGCAGATTAATGGTTATCAAAGTACAAATATCCAAAATCAGTTCAGTAACGGGTTTCAAGGGGACAATATTTACTCAAATTGATGGGTTTGGATGATGGGGGAAACTCGTGTCACAGGCTCTTTAAGGCATCTCCCTGGTTCCCTCCTTGAAAAGCCAATCAGATCTTTCCATTGGATTTTGGAATATTGTGGAAAATAATCTCTTTGGCAAACACACCTTTATTTTTTAATACTTACATTTCGCAGGATAATCTCCACATATTAACCACCTTGTGATTTTTTAAGTAAAAAGCCAGAAATAGGCTATAAAGGAACTACAGCACGGTCACATGACTTCAAGTCACCACCGCTAAGCTAAAGGTGGCTAATGTTGGGCTATAAAGGAACTACAGCACGGTCACATGACTTCAAGTCACCACCGCTAAGCTAAAGGTGGCTAATGTTGGGCTATAAAGGAACTACAGCACGGTCACATGACTTTAAGTCACCACCGCTAAGCTAAAGGTGGCTAATGTTGGGCTATAAAGGAACTACAGCACGGTCACATGACTTCAAGTCACCACCGCTAAGCTAAAGGTGGCTAATGTTGGGCTATAAAGGAACTACAGCACGGTCACATGACTTCAAGTCACCACCGCTAAGCTTTCAAGGTGTTTTCAGGGTGGAAGGGGAACCTGTGTGAGCGCTCTCTGGCCTCGTGTGCGTCGCTCTTCATCCTGTTCCCCTGCACGGCGCTGGCTGTTTACTTCCTGTTGCTCCAGACCTTCGTCCTGCGGCTGGAGTTCATCCTCGGCGCCGTGCTGCTACTCTTCTACGCCCTGGAGTTCCTGCTGGGACTCCTCTCCTTATCGTCCTTCTCCAGGTGAACTAATCATGTCATGTCGGGTTGGGGGGGGGGGTCTCAGTATATAAAAAAGTATTTCAAATAATCTCAGGCCCTTCCTTCCTGCAGTGGTCAGACTATATAAAAGGGGTGTGCAAATTACGGCCCTCATCAGGATGTGTTTTTTGTAACTTGTATTTTAAATTTTGTTTACTACTTATTTCTACTTAGGTGACATTTGGCTGTCTTTGGCTCTTTTCTGCTGTAACAATGTACATGTGGGACTAATAAAGGTATTCTGATGTCGGGTGGGGGGGGGAGTCTCAGTATATAAAAAAGTATTTGATTATGCTTCTGAAAATATTTACAAGTTTCATAAGTCCCATTTTGTTGTTGTTTCCCTTGTAGGTCCAAAGTGTACTGAAGAGGAGCGTCACCTGAAACACAGAGCGGACACCACATGTTCAAATGTACAGAGCTTTCTTCAGACGTTGTAAATAAAACGTTGTGTATTTTCATATTAAAAATGTAAATATTTGTTTTTCTACTACCTGAGTTCAAGACTTTGTTTGTTTTACAAGTTATAACGATGATGGATGAATGAAAATAACACCAAAATGGTTTTCTTTATAAGGTCAGCTATTATGCGAAATCTACTTCTTCATGTCTCTTCTACATCAACATGTGTCCCCTCTTCTTCATGTCTCTTCTACATCAACATGTGTCCCCTCTTCTTCATGTCTGTTCTACATCAACATGTGTCCCCTCTTCTTCATGTCTCTTCTACATCAACATGTGTCCCCTCTTCTTCATGTCTCTTCTACATCAACATGTGTCCCCTCTTCTTCATGTCTCTTCTACATCAACATGTGTCCCCTCTTCTTCATGTCTCTTCTACATCAACATGTGTCCCCCTCTTCTTCATGTCTCTTCTACATCAACATGTGTTCCCTCTTCTCCATGTCTCTTCTACATCAACATGTGTCCCCTCTTCTTCATGTCTCTTCTACATCAACATGTGTTCCCCTCTTCTTCATGTCTCTTCTACATCAACATGTGTCCCCTCTTCTTCATGTCTCTTCTACATCAACATGTGTCCCCTCTTCTTCATGTCTCTTCTACATCAACATGTGTTCCCTCTTCTTCATGTCTCCTCTACATCAACATGTGTCCCCTCTTCTTCATGTCTCTTCTACATCAACATGTGTCCCCTCTTCTTCATGTCTCTTCTACATCAACATGTGTCCCCTCTTCTTCATGTCTCTTCTACATCAACATGTGTCCCCTCTTCTTCATGTCTCTTCTACATCAACATGTGTCCTCTCTGTGGAAAGAGACTCTGAAAGTTTCAGGAACAAGATTCTCTCTCTTTTTGATCCATTTCTATAAAAACCTGTCTGAAAATGAGCTGATCAGATTTTGGCCACTTTATGATGTCATAACGATGTTTTGTCTTGTGTAACCATTAGCCAATTAGCAACCAAGGTAACCCCCCCCCCTTATCACCTGAATCTCCTCCTAGAGCACCATTGAGTTCTTTGTAACCAAATCTCTCTCAGAGGGGCGTGGGGAGGGGCTCCTTATTTTCATCTAAAGTAACAGACAGAGGGGATTATGGGTAATGCTGCAATGATCTGTTTGGTGTTTCAGCCAATCAGAGACAGGCTCTGTATACATCTGAGACCTGTGATATATTGATGAAAACAGTATAATAGGGGACCTTTAAATATGCGATGTTGGTGATGCTATTGTGGATCATTGAGGTCTCACCAGGACTTGGTGTGCCAGATGATGATGAAAACCACGTAGAGCGAGCGGGCGACCGGCCACCAGAAGATCCACATGTTGGTGTTTTGTGTCACCTCAAGGATATCTCTTTCTCTCAACTGTGAAGAAAACAGACACAGAGATTCAACAACATTAAATAGACTTTCTTTGCTAAGGAAGGATACTAACTGAACTGAAAAACTAGAAAAAAAAGTTGCGATGGGGACGTCCGGGCTTGGAACCAGCTGCCAATTGAGCTGAAACTCAGAGAGCTGGTTTCCTTAAACAAACTCAAAGCGACTCTCAATGACCTTGAAGCCGCTATATCTGTAACGGCCCGTCCACACAGCGGCATGCGTTGTCGCTTGCCGGCGGGCATGTCTGAAGCTCGACCAACAACCCATCACCTGAATCTCCCGCCCCGGAGACACAAGCAGCGGTTTGATTGGCTAGAGCTTGTACTGGCATATGATTTGCACTAACCTCCTTTTCCCCTCTCTCTCCAAGTGAGGTTCTTACCCTCATTACCTCTGCCCGCCCTACCACCTGTCCTCTGGACCCTATCCCTTCAAACCTCCTTCAGACTATCGCTCCTGATATTCTACCGTTTCTCACCCATTTCATCAACACTTCTCTAACTTCTGGACACTTTCCAAACAGTCTCAAGGAGGCAAGAGTAAACCCTCTCCTAAAGAAACCCACTCTCAACCCGTCTGATGTTATAAACTACAGGCCTGTCTCTCTCCTCCCGTTCCTGTCTAAATCACTTGAACGCGCTGTCTTTAAACAACTCTCCTGTTATCTCCATCAGAACAACCTTCTGGATCCGCACCAGTCTGGTTTCAAGGCAGGTCACTCCACAGAAACTGCTCTCATTGCTGTCACGGAGGAACTGCACACTGCCAAAACTGCATCCCTCTCCTCTGTCATCATCCTGTTGGACCTGTCTGCTGCATTCGACACGGTGAATCATCAGATCCTCCTTCGCACTCTCCAAAAACTTGGAGTTTCAGGCTCTGCACTTTCCCTCCTCACCTCATACCTGAAAGACCGTACCTACAGGGTGACTTGGAGAGGGTCTGAGTCCGACCCTTGTCAATTAACTACGGGGGTCCCTCAGGGCTCTGTTCTTGGTCCCCTCCTCTTCTCCTTGTACACAAACTCGCTCGGATCAGTCATTAGCCCGCATGGTTTTTCTTACCACTGCTACGCTGACGACACCCAATTAATTCTGTCCTTTCCCCGCTCAGAGACCCAGGTCGTCGCACGCATCTCTGCTTGTCTAGCTGACATCTCTCAGTGGATGTCTGCTCACCACCTCAAGCTCAACCTTGACAAGACTGAGCTGCTCTTCCTCCCGGGAAAAGATTGTCCAACTCTTGACCTGACAATCAACATCGGCACCTCAGTTGTTTCCCCGACTCAGACTGCAAGGAATCTGGGTGTGACCCTAGATAACAACCTGTCCTTCACTGCAAACATCGCTGCTACAACCCGCTGCTGCAGATACACGCTTTACAACATCAGGAAGATACGTCCCCAGCTGACTCAGAAAGCGACTCAGGTTCTGGTCCAGGCTCTCGTCATCTCACGCCTAGACTACTGCAACTCCCTCCTGGCTGGTCTACCTGCATGTGCCATCCGATCCTCTGCAGCTCATCCAGAATGCAGCGGCTCGTCTGGTTTTCAACCTTCCTAAATTCTCCCACACCACTCCGCTCCTCCGCTCCCTTCACTGGCTTCCGGTAACTGCTAGAATCCACTTCAAGACACTGGTACTTGCTTACCGTGCTGCGAATGGATCTGGCCCTTCCTACATCCAGGACATGGTTAAACCGTACACCCCAGCGCGTGCACTACGCTCTGCATCAGCCAAACGACTCGTTGCACCCGCACTGCGAGGGGGACCCAAGTTCCCATGAGGCGAAAACACGTGGGTTTGCTATCCTGGCTCCAAGATGGTGGAATGAGCTCCCCATTGACATCAGGACGGCAGATAGCTTGCACATCTTCCGGCGCAAACTGAAAACTCATCTCTTTCGACTCCACTTCGAGCGTTAGAACGATTAACGAAGCACTTTTATACCAATAAAGGACTGGATTACCTAAAGCCAGTTGAGTAGCACTTGAAATGTTTGGCTCTATGAAACCTGATATACTTATATGATTCTGTTTTCTTCAAGGTTGTGTCTTCCTGGTCGAATGTACTTATTGTAAGTCGCTTTGGACAAAAGCGTCAGCTAAATGCAATGTAATGTAATGTAATGTAATTTGATTGGCTGACGCTTCCGTCGAAGCTTCAAAAGTTGAACATTGCTCAACTTTTGCAGCGACCAACGCGAGCAAAGCTACGCTCCCACAACGCAGTTCGGCGAAGCGTGACGTCACCCCATTCAAAGTGAATGGGCAGAAGCTTTAACGCACGCCGCTGTGTGGACGGGCCGTTAATGCTTCGGCCTAACTTGTTGTATGACTGTGTTGTGATTGTGTGTTTTAAAATTGCAGTTACCATTCTTGGGCCAGGACTCTCTTGAAAAATATATTTTTAATCTCAATGAGACCTATCCTGGTTAAATAAAAAGGTAAAAATAAAAACAAGATGGTGTCGTACTGCACCAGAATAAATCTTCTGGTCACACATGCTATAGTTAAACAGATTCCCCTTTAAGCAACAGCTAATTACACTCATTAAAGGGGACCTATCATGCTAAATGCACTTTGTGATGTCTTTTATACATCAACATGTGTCCCCGGTGTGTCAGGGAACTCACGCGGCGTCAGAAAATAAAACCCTCTCTCTTTTCCTCCGTACTCAAATCTCTAAAAACGGGGGAACAACGGAGCTGATCCAGATTTGCGTCCGATATGACGTAATATCTGAAATGTGGACCCACGGCCCAATCAGAAACGTTGCTATCAGAAACAATGCCCGACTGTTTTGGACGTAATATGGTCAGTGTTTACATTAGCATCGCTAACACTCAGAGCTAACCTGTACTGGAGAGCATGTGTGTGAAGAAGCAGGAAGTAAAAAGGAACTCACCTTGTGGTATAACCGGCAAGAGAGAAAGCCTTTGAGCTCCAGACTGTTTCAGAGAGAATCCTTGATAATCCATGATATGGCGTTTCATCACGGCAGCATTTAGTTTAGACAGTAGCTGCCGGGTCCCGCATGAGCTCAGACCCCTCCTCTTTCTAAAGCTTTATACCCAAATCAGCACTTTAGAAACAGGAAGTGAAATAGAGGGATATGAGGCATGGCTAGAATGATCTGTTTGGTATTGTGAGCAAAACACTTCATAGACATGTTTTTTATATATATATCTGAGACCTATGCTACTGCCTAAAAATAGCACGATGGGTGACCTTTAACTCTCAGTAATGGCAAGATGTGAGTATTTTAATTTAATGACTATTATTTCTTGTTTTGGTTTATTATATAAATGCAGATTTACGTGCTAATAAAATAAACTTTATTGACAGATGTTTCTAATATTGTGTCCACCCGACATTTCAGTGAGGAAAGGCCTCAAAAAGAGCCAAACATAAGGCGTCCATTACTGACACACACACGCACACACACACACACCCTCTGGTAGTTCTGCTCCTGCTGGATCTGTAGAACCTGCTCCATCAGCTGTCGGACTCTCAGCTGCATATGTTGCAGTTTTTCTCTCACAGCGATCTCAGTGTAGTTGTTTGTTCTCTGGGCCGCTCGGAGGTCCAGGTGAACCGCCTGCAGGAGGGACATACTTTGGATTAACTTGAAAAATAAAATGTATTATTATTTATTAAAATTACCTCCAACACCTCAGCTTTTATACACAAGTTAGGTGTAACAGTTAGAAGATAATTTGGTATTGTTGGTATCAGAGTGTTGGGAAAATACTGAATGTCCTCTTCCAACATGAGAGTAACATGAAAACAAAGGTATCCCAACTGTAGCTGTGAACATGACAGGATGTGTGATTACCTAGAAGAGCATCAGGACTGTTTGAGGCATATGATAGCTATGTGATTAACATGATGATTCAGCCTCTATGGAGAGAGACATCAAGCATGCTCATTTCTGACGTGGAGCTAATCTGAAGTAAACATTGAATACTGCTTTCTATTCCTCCATCTTGTGACTGTGTAACTCCCTCTCTTGGATATCAGCATGTGAAGGACACTGTTCAGGAACTAGTTGATGCTCTGTATGTGATGACTCCTTCCATTCTGGAGAGGATCACAGATACATGGATCCTGAGGTTGAAGCTCAAGCCGGGGACGAGTGGGAGTTAAACATTTTAAGTATTCAGAAAAAGTTCGAATTTGGAGATTTTTTAGCAAAAGTTATAATTTTGAGAAAAAAAATCAGAATTTTTAGAGAAAGTCAGAATTTTGAGGAAAAAGTCAGAATTTTGAAAAAAAGCTAACATTATATAAACAAACTACATAACAGTTGCTTAACTCAAGGCGTGGTGACATTTAGTCGTTTAATTTATCCACTTGTTAGCAACTGCCTGTTTTATGACACGCTTCAGACATTCACCAGTGGGGTATTTACTGATTTTATGTTGTTGAACAAAACGTGAAAATCTCTTCAGCTTGTGTGAACAACAGACCTTATTTCAGCACAAAAACATTCCCTTGGAGCCGAGGGGACCAGAGGAGGAAAAAGTATTTTCTGGGTTTTAGGACTTTTAGGAGCGGTGCAGTGATGACGTATTGTTGTAGTTTCGACCCTGAAGTAAGCTGCTGGTTCCCTCGACAAAAAGCAACAGGATTTTTCCACAGGATTTAGGAATATCGTAAAAAATAAGCTCTGTGGAAAACAAACCTGTTTGATAAATGCACATTTTGTTCAGCCGGATAATCTCCACATGTCTACCCTACTTTTATCATTTTTTCTAATAAATCTAATGTCCAGAAGCTAAATGCTAACGTTCTGCTATAAAGGAACTACAGCCGAGTCCAGCAGCACGACTTCAACGTCACGCCAACTTAAGATCCATATTCAAACACACAGATTCTAAATGGAACGAGTTGAAGCGTTTGTTTGAACAGTTTGCAGGAGGCAGGTACTTGCTTTCAAGCAGAACAGGGCAAACAAACTCAGAGGAGTGTTTACGTGTTCGGCGTAATGACGTACAACGTCCTCCACAACTTCTGTAGTCCTATTCAGCCACTTGGTAACAACCATCGTTTTTCAGACACGTCAACTCTTCAGAAATCACCAGTGGGGTCACTGCTGATGGATTTAATGTCGTAGAACAAAACGTGATCCGTCTCTTCAATGTGTCTCAACCACAGACCTTATTCCAGCTACTACATTCCTGAACCACTCTATACAAGTGTGTAACCTCACCAGCAGGACTCCAGCAGGCAGGGGGTGCTGTGAACAGTTTGTTTGCAGACAGATCTGGTATCCTCCAGGTTCCTTAGATCTGACTCTGAAGCTTCCCTCCGAGCCGTGAGACCGAGACAGAACCAGCTGCAGGGAACACAGGAATAAATCAAACAGACTGTTCAACACATGCAGTTTTGTAAAATGTAATAAAAATATGATTGAAAAATTGTAGAATATCCTTTAACAAAGATCTTCTACTCAAATGTTAACCAACGGGGATTGTTTTTTATCGCACGAGAAAGAGGAGAAATCTAATTAGGTACATACTTTTGAGACTCTAGCTGATCCTTACAAAAACAAACTAAACATATATATAAAAAGTAAACCCTTAAAAAAAGAATTAAAAAAAGAATCATACAACTAAACACACTCTAAAACTTAATCCAAATTCAATCAGAAACGTATAGAAAATGTCGAACAATTATTATCGTAAAGGTTTTTTTCACATTGGTGTTTTCGTGTCATTTTTATTACAGATTACTGACACCAATAAACACAACAGATAAATCTCATTTGTGTTATTCCATCTCGGTTGGTAAACACAGGGATGCAAACTCATCAGGTATGGAAAAGGTGACAGGGATCCGAGCCCCCGACCCCACGGAATATCGGCTTTAACATTCAGAATAACAGGATGTTAGCAGTCAAAACAAATAAAGCAGCAGGTAATAATAACGGAAACGCCAAAGAGTCACATCTAGTAGAAATATATAAAAGCATTTATTTTAATTGTGTAGCAGTCAGTTTATCATTTAGGCAGCACTGGTGAGCATTTTGAAAATGTATTTTCATGCCTCTGTGCAAGGCTTAGTCTTTCTATCTGTATAGCCACTGGTGTAAAGTAACCAAGTTCATAAACACAAGTACTACGTGGGTACAATTTAGAGATACTTGTACTTTACTTAAAGGTGGGGTATTTAATTTATTTCAGAAACACTTGTTGTTATCTTCCATGGAATGCTCTTAACATCCCGAGAGCAATGAATACATTAAATGCTTTGACAATAAATACATTAAAAAATATTATCTGTGGAAGCCGTGGCGCTGTAAAAAGCACGACCAATCATCTGAGCCGGCCCGGCTAAAGTAACTGGATGGCCTACCTGCCTGTCAGCCTTCCATCTGTGCACAAATGTGCGCGTTCGTGTGTGTTGGAGGAGGGGCTCTGTAAGGAAGTGGCAGATTTTTTCCGGTTGTGTATTTTCAAATTCTAGCGTACTCGATCTGGTTTCTCCAAAATGACCTACCCCACCTTTAATATTTCAATGTTTTGCTACTCTGTACTTCTACTCCTCTACAGGAGGAAATATCTCCTGAATTTCCCCACTCAATCTATTAAGACCCGAGCAGTTGTGTAGAAGTCCAAGGCACGGGCCGGCACGTATCGGTCAAAGTAATCCCTAGCCACATGAACTTTGACCCTAGGAGATAGAGGTAAAAGTAATTTGTGAAAAACGCCTGGACACTGTTTTCTAACTTAGGTTTTTCAGGTGTAAAAACCCTCCATCTAAGTGTGGAAGACAAGTCAAAACATGTGTTTTTATTTAATCAGAACCAAACCAGGACTAACCTTGTCATTAGGATCTTTGACCTGGACTGATAAGGTGATGTTCTGAGAGACCGGCAGGTACTCGTCTCTCTGTCCGTCAAACAGCCGGGTCCGATAGTTTCCTGCAGAGACGAAACACAAAGAGAAACTCGGTCAAACTAGGGCTGCTAAATACTGTGTCTTGTCAATGATATTGTGGAAATGAAGGAGTCTCGTGATTGAATTACAGTGTTAATAGACAAGGGTATGCATTACGAGAGGCTTTTTGTATGTGTGCTATTGAAAGGTGTTGCATTTGTTAACTGACTCGAGTAAAGTACCGGCAAGTGAAACCTAACTTTGACATAATTCTCCCCTTTTATCCGGGGCGTAACACGAGTATACTTTCCATTAGCAGGAATACAATGAAAACTTAGCTCAGGAAGTATTTCTCATGTCAGATGCAGATCGTAACAAATACTTTCATTCAAGGTGGGGTAGGTAATTTTGGAGAAACCAGCTCGAGTGGCTAGAATTTGAAAATACACAACCAGAACAAATCTGCCACTTCCTCACAGAGCCCCTCCTCCAACACACACGGACGCGCACATGACCAATGAGGGCACGAGATAAGTTTGTGCACAATTAGAAGGCTGACAGGCAGGTAGGCCATCCAGTTACTTTAGCCGGGCCGGCTCAGACGATTGGTCGTGATTTTTACAGCGCCACGGCTTCCAGTGATTACATTTTTTTATGGATTTATTGTCAAAGCACTTCAGATATTCATTGCTCTCGGGATGTTAAGAGCATTCCATGGAATATAACAACAAGTGTATCTCGAGCCGGTTTCTCAAACTTACCCACCTTTAAAGCTTCTTTGGTTTATGTATTTCCCCCACAATAAGTTCACCATTAAATAAAGTGATTTTGCAAAAGCACCAACTTTTCTGAATGTAACTTCCCTTGGAAAATATTAGTGACAAAATAGGCTCAGTACATTTATCTGACAGTAACTTTTAATCAGAGATGATGAGTTACTTTAATACTGTTTATCACTGTGCATTTGGACTTAAAAGGAACTTCCTCATAGTTTGTTCAGCTGTGAGCTAACTTAGCTATGTGTTTGCGTATATAGTGTATATATGTTTATGGACTCCTGCTTTTACTTGGTCACTTACAACAAGCTCTGCAACATTTAGCTTATTTTATTATTATTTTCTGAAATTGTGTATAGTTTACTTCATTGGTCTCACAACAAAAGCTGCACTCTTTTATTCTACTCTGTTACTCATTGCACTATTTTATTTTAATATGTATTTGATGTCTCATATGAAGGCTGAATTGTTGGAGCAGCTTGAGATTTAAGTTTTTTTATTGGCATATCTACACTGTAGCTACTGTGCATATGAAAATAAAGCCTTTGAATCTAGTGTTAATAGCATTATACCATATGTACGTGTATTTGATGGTAACTTTTATTTATAGTCAGTGGTGTAAAGTAACTAAGTACATTTACTCAAGTACTGAAGTGCAATTTTGAGGTACTTGTACTGTACTTGAGTATTTCCATGTTATGCTACTTAGTACTTCCACTCCACTCCAGTTCAGAGGTCAATGGTGTACTTCTACTCCACTACATGTATCTAATCCCTTTAGTTACTTCACAGATGTGGATGAATGCTGTGAAATATAACCAAGTGTTGAATCAGACTTTAGTTCCACCTGGAGTAAATCCACCAGCTACCCTGCAGTATACAAAGTCCTTCAAACTAGCTGCACCTTTACCAGCTTTGAGAACACTTTCATGATCAATCATTATAAAACATATCATATATATTATTCTGAAATGGACCAATCTGCACAACGACTACTTTTACTGTCGCTACTTTAACTATATTTAGATGAGAATACTTTTCTACTTTCACTTGAGGAACATTTTGAATGCAGGACTTTTAATGTAACAGAGTACACTCTGGTACTTCTACTTTTACTCAAGTACTAGATCTGAGTACTTCTCTGTTTAAAGTCGATGAGTTTATGCTGTTTATCACGGTGCCTTTGTCCCTGTAAAGAACTTCCTCATAGTTTGTTGATCAGCTGTTAGCCTGAGAGCTCTCGTTATCCCGGGTTAAACTCACCCATGAGCATCGTCTCGTCCGGGATCTTCTCCATGAAGCATTTCCTCTCGGTGTCCCCCATGTGAAAGTACAAAGACGAGACAAACGTGAAGAAAAAGTTCAGAAGTACAACTGTCAACAACTTCACCGCCGCCATCTTTAAACGGCTACCGAGTTCTTAAAAACAAAAAAAACTTTGTTTAAAACTGTCAACGTACAAAGTATCAATAACACTTCAGAATCATTCACATGAGGAAACTACGTTGAGAAAATAAAACGACATAAATAAAGTTGAACGTAGACTAAATACAGTTTAAACTGCAGTTGAGCACTTTAAAATACTTTATTTAAAACGTTATTCAAAACGGCTGAGAAAACAATGGGATAAACGAAATATACAATGTAAAACAAATATATAATAGGCTTGTTTGAGATGAGCTGCGGCTCGCCTCGAAAGTAGACGAGAATAGCCGATTGCAACCAAGGGAGGTCTCAAAAAGCTCGCCTGAAGTCGGACAGCTCGGAATCGGCTTCTTCGTCTTCTCTCGGTTTTTGGCGGATTGCAAACAACTTTAAGGTGCATACCTTCAGGTCAGAGGGCCTAGGTATACAAGTCACGGCTCGCCACTGGTTTAGGGGTATACACCCCCCGACATTTTGGTGATGTTCATGATCTAGTTAGGTGCTTTTTAAGTCCTGTGGGGGGTCACACATTGGATAATATATTGATTTCAAACCATGTCAGCGGGCTGCAGCATAAATAATTTTTGAATGTGTAATACATAAGAATCAGTTGATTGTTAATATGAATGATCTGGACATGCAGAAGAGGCTAAAATGATCACAAAACATTGTCAACATTCATTTTCCATGTCTCTCTCCTTTCCATAACCTGCAGCCTCTCTTCTTTAGTCTCTCTGTCTTCTTCCTGTTCATTACTGTCTCTGTCCTCTACTCTTTCTCTTTGTTCAATCTCTCTCTTTGTTCAATCTCTCCCTCGTTGTTCACTTTTTGCTCCTCCTCACTTGTCGCTACTGCCAGTGAATTAAAAGCAATTCAGCCATTTAATCCATTTCACTTGTTTGCTTTGGAACAAACTCCCCCAGATAATAAAAACCTCTGCCTCAATAGAAATGTTTAAGGGGCAGTTAAAGACCCACCTTTTCCGACAGGCCTTTGGGTCGTCGGAGGAGGTGAGTTAGTAGCTGTCTTTTATTGGTGTTTTATCGTATGTATTACCTGCTGCTGTTTTATGCATTTTATTCTACATTTTATAGTTGTACTTTGAATTGTGTCCTGTGTACTGTACTGTTTTTTGTATTATTTGACTTTAACTATATATTTATTTGTTGTTTCTTTCTTTTCTTTTATCTTCACTATATCTGTAAAGCGTCTTTGAGCACCTGTAAAAGCGCTAACAAATTAAATCTATTATTATTATACTGGACTGTAAAGCACTTTGTACATCCGTGTTGAGAAGGGTGCTATACAAATACAGTTTTACTTACTTACTTGTTTGCATTATTTGGTTTATTTAAATCTGTTTTGTTTGATTCTCAAAAGAGAACAAAGATGTAAGCAAATTGTGTTTTATACAATTGTATGTTATTATGACATCATAACTGCAATAGATGTATGCTGTTTTAAAATTATGCCTATTGTCTATATTATAAATGAAGACTATTGTTATATAGATTGACTGATAGACTGTCCTGTCTCTTCCTTACCAAAGCTGAGCTTCGACTGACGCAGTCTTTTCATTGTATCTGAGTCAGTGTAAAAAGAAAACAATACAATGTTATATCTTCAATGTTTTACTAAATGAAAGAAAAGCATTACATTGTTTGTTAAAAGGTAATCCTTCTGACATTGGATGAATGTAATTAACTGTAGCTCTCTAGCTAGTTTATTCACGCAATTTAACCCAAAGTATAGCCTATAGCTGCAATATAAGCTAGTGTGCATGTTGTCGGACGTCCACTGACTAACGTAGAGCGTTCACACAGGATCTGCTGCTCATATGATGTCCTGAGGAACAGAAACACAAGCAGCCCGCTGGACTCAGATCTCTAGATACCTCATCACTCCTCCGCTGCTCCGATACAAGTCCGGGCTGCGGTGGTTTGTTGATACATGTCGTCTTCTTCGGTTTGCTTTAATCGAGGTTACGTATGGAGGGCCCCCATCGTCAGTAAATGGAAGTACTACAAAGAACCCCGTTTAGTGCAATTATTTCACAAGTTTTGTTATATACACAGCTGGAAAAAAATTACCGAGGTCCGGACCTCGGTGACCTTAATGGTGGATACGGCCCTGCATACCGCCACCTACTGTACAAGAGTGTGTATCCCCATATCATCCTATCACCACTTGTGGAATTATATACCACTGTGTTTACGTTGTTTTAAATTCTTCCAATCAATCCTGTTTCACTCAAATACTTAAGAGGCCTTCCTGGTAGCTCAGACAGATCAGGCTCCACTCCCTTCCTGCCTCTCTGACCCTGTCTCTTAGTTTTTCCCTGTCTGTTTTGTACATGTTGCAGTGTAATATGATGTGTTCCACATTTTCTTTCACTCCACACCCCCTGCATTCTTCAACTTCGCTTTTTACCATTATAAACATTGTGCGGTTTAATCCTGTATGATCCAGTCTGAGTCTAGTGATGATGATCTCCTCCCGTCTGTTCCTTTCTGTATAGACCTTTATTATGACTGATTTCGGTAACTTGTGGTATCTCCTTCCTTTCTGATCTTCCTCCCACCTTTTCTGCCATATTTCCACAACCTTTTTCTTAATTATTGCTTTCCCTTCTCCTTTTCCAAGTGAAACTGGTATTGCTATTTCCTTCTGTAACGCATATTTTGCTAACTTATCAGCATGCTCATTCCCTTGAACCCCCTCATAACTGCACATATATTCCCCTTATCTGAAGTCTCAATAAGCAATGTTTAAGTTCAATAATCAAATCTTCTCTAACAGTTATTGTCGACTGTATGCTCAGATAGTGAGTCTGTGCAGATCACCACCCTATCAGGCCTGACCTCTTCAACCTATTGTAGCCCAATAATTGCTGCTAGTATTTCTGCTGTATAAACTGATGATTATGTGACACTCGTTTTGAAATTGATATTTTGAATTCTGGTATACACGCCTATCCCCACGTATTCTTGCTTCTTAGATCAATCTGTATACATGTTGAGGTCATTGTAATACTTTTCGTTCGGGTACATACTCGTTTTAATTCCCACCTATTTTTTTCTCACATTTATATAAGCTTCTGGGGAAAGCCATGGGGCAACACGGCTAAATGGGCTTGCTTTGGCAAACGTGATGGTCTCCACTCCATATGCCCTCGTTCTCTCCTTACTCGTCCAGCCAAACCCACGCCCCTGGAACTTTGTATATTCCCAGCAATCCTGTAGTATTCTGTTGGTGATATCAATCAATCAATCAATGTTTATTTATATAGCCCAATATCACAAATGTTACATTTGTCTCAGTGGACTGCACAATTTGTACAAAAATATCAGTATGACAATACGACACCCTCTGTCCTTAGACCCTCACATCGTACAAGGAAAAACTTCCGAAGAAAACCCACAGTTTTAAAGGGGAAAATGGGAGAAACCTCAGGGAGAGCAACAGAGGAGAGATCCCTCTCCCAGGACGGACAGACGTGCAATAGATGCCGTGTGTAAATTGAAAAGATAATACATTTGCAACAAAGGTAGTCCAAATGTTGGGAAATGCTTGTGTGTATAATAGGAAGATGAATCCACAAGGATATCCATCCAGGACCTATGATCCAGGACCACAGCCATGACTCAAGATCCAGGGCTCGCGATGCAGGACACAGGACCGCAGGATCATCCATGACTCCGGATCCCAGCGTATATAGACACCAAAAAGAAAGAAATGTGGGGAAGCTGGGTTAATCGGAACATGAGAGTACACAGTTATAGACAGAGAGAAGGAAGAAGTAAGATGTCCCCCGACAAACTAAGCCTATATCAGCAAAACTAGGGGCTGAATCTAATCAGCCCTAACTATAAGCTTTATCAAAATGGAAGGTCTTAAGCGCACTCTTAAAAACGGATAGGGTGTCTGCCGCCCGAACACAAACTGGAAGCTGATTCCACAAATGTGGAGCTTGATAAGAAAAGGCTCTGGCTCCCATTGTACTTTTAGAGACTCTAGGAACAACCAACAACCCTGCATTCTTGGAACGCAATGCCCTAGTAGGACAGTAGGGTATAATGAGTTCTTTAAGGTAAGATGGCGCCTGCCCATTAAGGGCTTTGTAGGCGAGAAGAAGAATTTTAAATTATATCCTGTGTTCGATAGGGAGCCAGTGAAAGGCAGCCAGAACAGGAGTAATGTGGTCCCTTTTCCTAACTGGTTAGTACACGAGCTGCAGCATTTTGAATCAGCTGAAGTGACTTGACTGACTTCTTGGTACACCCTGATAATAAGGAGTTACAATAATCCAGCCTTGAAGTAACAAATGCATGGACTAGTTTCTCTGCATCGTTTTGAGGCAATATATGCCTGATTTTTGCAATGTTACGTAGATGGAAGTAGGCGGTCCTTGAAATTGATTTTATGTGGGCGTTAAAGGATAAATCCTGATCAAATATAACACCAAGATTCCTTACAGTCTCACTGGAGGCCAAATTAATGCCATCCATAGTTAGTATATCTTTAGATAATTTGTTTCGTAGATTCTTCGGGCCAAGTACAATAACTTCAGTTTTGGTCGTGTTTAAGATCAAAAAGTTTAAGGTCATCCACGTTTTTAAGTCCTTGAGGCAGTCTTGAATTTTATTTAGATGATTAATTTCATCAGGCTTGATTGATAAATATAGTTGAGTATCATCCGCATAACAATGAAAGTTTACAGAATGATTCCTTATAATATTGCCTAACGGAAGCATATATAATGTGAACAAAATAGGTCCGAGCACTGAGCCCTGTGGCACTCCATGGCTAACTTTGGTTTGCGTGGAAGATTCATCGTTGACACGTACAAACTGAGAGCGTTCAGATAGATAGGACCTAAACCAGCCTAAAGCAGTTCCCTGTATGCCAACTAAGTGCTCTAGTCTTTGCAATAAGATATCATGGTCTATAGTATCAAATGCAGCACTGAGATCGAGCAAAACAAGAATAGAGACACGTCCCTTGTCAGAGGCTATTAGAATGTCATTTGTGACTTTAACCAGAGCTGTCTCTGTGCTATGATGTGTTCTAAAGCCAGACTGAAAATCTTCAAATAAATCATTGTTTTTTAAGTAATCACACAACTGTTTTGCGACTGCTTTCTCAAGAATTTTTGAGAGGAACGGAAGATTAGAAATAGGTCTATAATTGGCTAAAACCTCTGGATCGAGGTTGTGCTTTTTAAGAAGAGGTTTTATCACTGCTACTTTGAATGATTGTGGAACATAGCCTGATAATAAAGACATATTCATAATATTTAATAAAGAAGTGCTAATTAATGGAAAAACTTCCTTCAACAGCTTAGTTGGAATTGGGTCTAACATACACGTTGATGGTTTAGAAGAGAGAATCATTGAATTTAATTGTTCAAGGTTTATGGCTGAAAAGCATTCTAGTTTACTATCTAGTGTAATCTATCTAGAACTCACGCTTCCGGGAGCCGTTGATAACACTATACTGGTCAAAGGCAAGAGGTCATTAATTTTGTTTCTAAGAGTAACAATTTTATCGTTAAAAAAGCACATCAAATCATTACTACTGAGTGCTATGGGAATAGAAGGCTCAATCGAGCTGTGGCTCTCTGTCAGCCTGGCTACAGTGCTGAAAAGAAATCTTGCATTATTCTTATTCTCATCTATTAATGAAGAGTAGTAGGCTGCTCTCGCTTTACGCAGTGCTTTCTTATATTCATTGAGAGTAATATGCCAAATTAAACGAGATTCTTCAAGTTTAGTGGAACACCATATCCTTTCAAGTTGTCTCGACTTTTGCTTTATTTTGCGGGTTTCGGCATTATGCCATGGAGCTAATCTATGTTGTTTTATTTTCTTCTTTTTCAAAGGAGCAACAGAGTCTAATTTTATTCGCAGCGCATCTGTAGCACTATCAACAACATGATCAATTTGGGGTGGTGTACATTTTGTATAAGTTTCCTCCCCTACATGCAGACATGCTATCGAGTTAAGTATTGGTGGAATCTCTTGCTTAAATTTGGCTATGGCACTAACAGATAGGTTTCTGCTGCATGTTCCTCTCCACTTCCTTGTAGCCTGACCCAGTAGGCCTATGACAGAGCAAGTTTCTCTCTTCTGATCTCCAGAGGTGTCTCTCCTCTCGGAGTCGGCTTGACTCGGTTTGCATTCATAAAGAATGCACAAATGTGTTTAATCGGTAATGTCAGATATACTAAGTAAATACATTTGTTCCTGCTCAAGATTAGATTAAACTTTATTTTTATTGCACAGATTACAGGTACTGAGACAACAAAATGCAGTTTAGCTTCTAACCAGGAGTGCAAAAAGCAGTACATTGAAAAGTAATGTATACAATCTACAGAATAAAATATAGAATGAATTGAATGATGAATAAACAGTGAGGGGAATGAATACACTAGATATACACAGCAGCCTGTGAGCAGAACAGTGTGTATGAATGTGACGAAGGTAACTTCGTCATTATGGACTGACGGCTTCAGGCCGGGTAATATTGCACTTTATTAGCGTGATTGCACAGTACAGTTGATGTCTGTGGCTGATGATTGTGTGCACCTGGTGTCCTGTGTTGTCTCCTCCCCCCTCACCTGTGTCTTGTTGTGCTGATTAGAATGGGGTGTATTTAGGGTCTGTTGCCCTGTCTGTTTGAGAGGCTGGTAGGGTGTGTGAGATCCTTGTGGCTGGTAGGATGTGTGCACAGGAACAGCAAGATTGAGGCTGTGTCCTGTGCTCAATTTTAATAAATGCCCACGTCGGGTTATATTTTTTAACGTTCTGCCTCTGCCTCCTTGCTTGGTCTGGGCCGCTCAACGGTCAGCTTCACAATTGGTGTCAGAAGTGGGATTTGACCAAGTAAGGAGGTGAGGATTGCGAGAGGAAAGAGGAGGGACCAAAGAGAGGAACCGCGGCTGGGGGTGGCAGTGCCTGGAATGGACCGGGGGGCCACGGCTGTTGAGGCAGCGGGAGACGAGAGACAAGCAGCGGGAGACGTGAGACAAGCAGGAGAAGCGGCGTTTGCAGGCCGAGGAGGCGGACCCGGACCCACAAGGAGTCGTGGGTGGCATCACGACATGGTTGACGGCGGCTTCACTGGCCCCGCTGGAGGTGGCGGAGGAGGCGGCGTTGAAACCGGGTGGCTGACTGGTTGTCCCGAAGCCGAGACCGTAGAGACACTGTGCTTCCTGGGGAGAGGGGGAAGGAAATGTGACTATGGACTGACGGCTTCAGGCCGGGTAATATTGCACTTTATTAGCGTGATTGCACAGTACAGTTGATGTCTGTGGCTGATGATTGTGTGCACCTGGTGTCCTGTGTTGTCTCCTCCCCCCTCACCTGTATCTTGTTGTGCTGATTAGAATGGGGTGTATTTAGGGTCTGTTGCCCTGTCTGTTTGAGAGGCTGGTAGGGTGTGTGAGATCCTTGAGGCTGGTGGCTGTGTGCACAGGAACAGCAAGATTGAGGCTGTGTCCTGTGCTCAATTTTAATAAATGCCCACGTCGGGTTATATTTTTTAACGTTCTGCCTCTGCCTCCTTGCTTGGTCTGGGCCGCTCAACGGTCAGCTTCACAATGAATATGCTAAGATATATAACGTATGAAAACGGTAAGCAGTGCAAGTATAGTATAAAATATATAGATATTAAAAAACTGAAAGGTCCACCGGAAGGGGAGGGACTTCACCACTCTATAGAGAGGCGAAGTCCCGCCCATCTACTTCCGACCCATGGGACCTTATTTGGGAAAAATTATGTATTTAAGTCAATGGGGAGAGAAAGATTATCTCTCGATCCTGTTTGAATTGTGCCACGAATTTACACATATGATGTTTGTCAATCTTAAAAACTATTTCCATGTAAAAAAAGTCAGTTTGTCGTAAAACTGTTGAAATATAAGACTATGAAAAATACACAACTAGAAAGACTACAAATCCCGGTCCCGCATGCTGGCTCTTACGAACCGACTAACTCCCCTTGTGTGTATGCACAGCTCTCAACGTGCCCAGACTTGTAGTGATTTTCACCTCTTTTAATACTTTTCGCCTCGTTCTGAAAGAAGTGAAACGTGACGGCCGTCTTGGTGTGTGGTGCGAGACGGGAGATGTAGTTCATTGAGCGGTTTCCCACAAAAAAAAGTGTTACTTCACAGTTTTACAACACATTTTTATTTTTTTGACTTGCAAAATATCTTTTAAATTGACAAACATCATGTGTAATTCGTGGATTCGAACGGGATCGAAAGATAATCTTTCCCTCGCCATTGACTTCAATACTTTTTCCGAAATAAGGTCCCCCGGAAATGAAGGGACTTTGCCTCTCTATAGATTTGTTGCGCTTTTAAAAAACATTCTTTATATAAACACTGTCATTATCAGATGTTTAGATGAAGCATTGAGGATACAAATAAAAACATACGACAGAAGTAATACATATCCTTAAAATAAATAGTTTCCACTGCTTTTGAGTAATTTAAACAACTTGATGACGGAAATAAAACAAATCCAAAGTTAAACAAAAATGATTTTCAAATTGCTGCCATGCACTTCTTTAAAAATCTTTATTTAAAACGGTCAACTTACAAAAAAAACACTCAAATATAGATAAAATGATGCAAAAACAATACAAAAAATAAAAAGACCACAGAAATAAAATTCAACGTAGAATAAATACAGTTGAAACGGCTTTTGAGCACTTTAAAAAAAAAAACTTTAATCAAAACTGTCACATACAAACTGTCAATAGGCCCTTTCACACCAAGTACTTAGTTCATGAGCAGATCGCGTTCACACCGGAATAAGTCCCTGAGGGAGGATTAGGCAAATGAAGCCGCTGACGTCACTTCTTCTGCTTTGGGTTTACTGGCAGGCCGCAAACAACTTCACGGCGAATACTGCCACCCGGAGTCCCCGGCCGGAAGTCCCAGCACCTTCCAAGTAAACCGCTCCCATGTTTTCTTTTGTGTTGCCATAAGTTAGTCTCTCTCCGTTTGTGCGCTGGGCTAATGCTAATAATGCTAATGCGAGGAAAATAAAATGGCGGCTTCACAAAACCTTTTGAGAGTTTTACGGAGCGTGGTTTGCAATCCGCCCAGCCAATCAGAAATGGGAACCTTTTTCTCCCATGAAAGTACCTGCTCTCTTGCAGGGACTGAAAAGGGTGTGAACAGGTTCTCATGAACTAAGTTCTAGTTCCGGATTTTTTTGGTGTGAACGCACATTTTCTGAACTATATCGGAACTATACTTGGAAAAGTACTCCGGTGTGAAAGCGCCTAATACAACTTATTTCAAATAGACTAAACGTTCCGAAACAATAAGAAACACTGAAACGAATACAGTAATGAAACAAATTCAACGTAAATTAAATACATTTAAAAATGTTTTTCAGTGCTTTAAAGATTTTTTTTTTTAAACGGTCAACATACAAACAAAGATGGGCGAAGTACTCAGATCTTGTACTTGAGTAAAAGTAGAAGTACTCAGATCTCGTACTTGAGTAAAAGTAGAAGTACCAGAGTGTAGGAATACTCTGTTACAGTAAAAGTGAGTAGTGCATTGCAGTAGTCCAGCCTGGAGGAGACAAAGGCGTGGACTAGCTTTTTGGCATCAGACAGAGTGAGTGTGGGGCGGAGTTTGGCGATGTTCCTGAGGTGATAAAAGGAGTTCTTGCACAGCTGTGTTTAATGTGAGCCTCAAAGGTCAGATGGGCATCCATTTTCACACCCAGGTTGGTGACTATTGACGAGAGGGTAATGTCCTGGCTAATTTCCTGCCATAACTCCACAAACAAACTTAACAGGTTTTACAAATGCCTCATGATTCACTAACAAACACAATGTGGTTTGCAACTACAAAACACCATCTACAAACTAATGCATTTAGTTTTGCAAAGAAAAAACGTATCTATCAAACAAACATATAACATTTTTCTAATAAATCATGTTTCAGAGACAAATTCAGGTTTTACAAGTACACAACTTTTTTTTTACAAGTACAACACTTTTTCTTCTCACGGCGGAATATTACTGCCAAAAGTCACGTGGCTTTGTGGTTGTGCTCAAACACACTCACACATGCTCCACGGCAGCAGGGGGCGCTACTGAGTCCATTGGGAAGGCGGGAGGTTGAGCAGAGCATGGAACAGCCCTTGCCAGTCTGATGGCAGGTGTTTCTAGCGATCCAGGTCAGTGTTATAGTGATACTAAACAAGGTGAATTTAGCGATCACAACGAAAACAGCAAGACACACATTGAGCCCAGAAAAAGAATGTTATTAAGGGCTGTAAATATAATAAGCCTTTGGGTAAAATGGACAACATTGTAACTAAGGAGATTTAAACTATACAGCGATTCTGCACTGCAGTCACTCATCCGTCTCTCGAGTTAGTCTTTTCAAATCAGCTGCTCTTCATTTTCTTTCCTGCTATATTCAATGAGTTATACAAATATTTTTTACCACAAGTTCTTAATAAAACTGACACTGTTGGACTCGGTACTAGTTGACTGCTACCAGAAATAAAAGGAAGTACTTTTACTGTGTACTTTGTGAGTAATCCTCTGTCAGAGTCCCCTGCATAGTACATAATGCATGTTTTCTGCTATCTTTGATGAATGATAAAAATAAAATGTTACCATAAGTTCTTAATGAAATGATCAAGGCCAACAGTTTTTATGCCGACTGAGCTGGACTTAAACTACTTCTGTCAACTTGAGGTTGCAGAACTCAGCAGTGCCACCAGAAGATACTAAATCAAACCGAAGTCCAGCGTGGAGCGGCTGAGTGAAAGTGGTCAGGACTCTGTGGAGGAGAGTCATGGTTTCAGAGACGCTGTAGAAGGACAGAATACCTGCATCGTGATCCAGATACACTCCAACTCTGGAGGACCGAGGACCTGAGACGGGAGTTTTGATGTTGTTGTACCAAAAGGTATAACTGTTAATGTCAGAATATAACGTCCAAGATTTATCATTGACTCCAAATAAACATTCCTCCCAAACCCCTGCTCTGCTGATGTTCTTGTATGCAACTGCTACAAAAACTCCCCCCCCTCTCAACTCCACTTCCCAGTAACAACGTCCAGTCAGACTTTCTTTACTCAGGACCTGAGGCCATTTCGTGAATCTGTCTGGGTGACTTGAATATATCTGGCGTTGACTCGTGAATGTTGCTTTTCTGCCCTCCTCAGTTAATAGCAGCTGTGTGTTTGCAGTGTTTGGATCCAGAGTGATGTCACGTGAATATTTTAAGAATTCAGCTCTGGTCTTTGGCTCTGGTGGAGGCAGTAAAACGTCCACTTCACTCACCATCAGTGAGATGTTTGTCCACGTCTTCTTCAGGACGTCCTGTAGTTTATCTCTGACTTCTGACACAGCTGCCGTCACGTCCTGAAAGTAGCGCAGAGGACGGACTTTGATGCTGGATGAGTGTTTGGAAACACTGAGAGGTAACAGAGAGGGGTAGTTGAGCAGAAAGTGGGTGTGATCCTCTGCGTGAGAGAGCTTCTGCAGCTCAGCGTCTCTCCTCTTCAGCTCCCTGATCTCCTGCTCCAGCTTCTCCTGAAGATCTTGGACTCGACTCACTTCAGTTTCCTGCTTGGATCTGAGCTGCTGCTTCACATCAGAGCTTCTCTTCTCCATGAGACGGATCAGCTCAGTGAACGTCTTCTCACTGTCCTCCACTGCTTTATCAGCAGAGCCATTGATGGCCTCCACCTCCTGCTGAAGCAGCTTCACCTCCTTCTCTCTGTCCTGGATTCCCTGTTGGATGTTTAGTCGACTCCCCTCCAGCTCTTTCTGCCTCGCAGTCCTTTCCGCTGCAGCCAAAACTGTCTTGTGGCCTTTATGGTCATCCATAGGGCAGAGATAACAGATACACTGCTGATCAGTGCGGCAGAACAGCTTCTTCACCTCATCGTGGCGAGAGCACATGCTCTCCTGGAGCTTCTTGGAGGGCTCCACCAGCTTGTGTTTCTTAAAAGCAGGTGATTCATAATGAGGCTGGAGGTGTTTCTCACAGTATGAGGCCACACACTGCAGACAGGACTCCAAGGCTTTCAGTTTTCTCCCAGTACAGAAATCACAGGCCACATCTTCATCTCCAGCATAGCAGTGATCAGCAGGAGCAGCTTGGAGTCCAGTCTTCTTCAGCTCCTCCACTAACTCTTCTAGCATGGTATTTTTCACCAGGACAGGCCTTAGTGCAAAGGTCTGTCTACACACTGGGCAGCTGTAGATTTGATTCTCATCCTCTCCATCCCAGTGGCTTTTAATACAGTTCATGCAATAGTTGTGTCCACAGGGAATAGTCACCGGTTCCTTCAGTAGATCCAGACAGATCGAACAGCTGACTTTCTTTTGGTCAAGCCGATTTTCTTGCTGCGCCATTTCACCTCTCAGTGTTAGCAAATGTCGGTTTCACTTTCCCAGAATAGAAACAAGCTCTGCTCCGTTTATGTTACTTGTCCCAAAAGCTTGGGTACCACAGCAACAATAAATAAATCTGTAGAAAACAGAAAAGTGCAGCAGCGTGAAATAAACATAGGGTCCGATTGATCGTCTGGATTGCTTCTCATTCAAAATTCAAAGTACGTCATACAGTTACAAACAAATAGCTGTACATAACAAACATATCAGATTTCTCAATTTAAGTTATCCGTCTATGTCACAGTTAGGGGTGCATACCGTACATAAATCAGATCCGGTTTTCGATGAGGCGTAATATCCTTAAATTCGTGCCCAAACCGTCGGAATTACGATGTCAATTTCACCGTGAAACTCCGCAAACGTGTCACTTTAGAAAATCTAAAGTGTGGCTGCATATGACTGCCAGTCTGAATGGTAATCAGTGTGAGAAGTTTATTTCTTGGAAAGGCGGCAACACATCCAACCTCCAACCAATGCTGTCTCGTATGGCAACCAAGTACCTTTGTGTTCAGGGAAGCAGTGTGCCGAGCGAGAGAGTGTTTAGTTCAGCAGGTGATATCCTACCTACGCTGTGAAAGGGCCCGTTTGGATCCAGAGAGTCGATCGCCCGGTCGATCGCGGGGAGATTCCCAGTCGATCGCGAGATTTGTCTAAAAATAGAACAACAATATTCTGTTTTATCGTTAATGTCCTATAACAGGGGTATTCAACTCAAATTCAACGAGGTCCAGTTAGATAAAATCTTCCCATGCAAAGGTCCGGAACATCAAAATGTCTAAGTTGCTTTATGAATTAATGTGATATATATTGAAGTAGCTGCAGCTTTATCAACGTCTGCATGTAATCAACAACTGACTGCCAATCAAATAAAGAAAAATTCAAACACAACAATATTTATTGTCAATTAACATTGAACTATACAGATATACAGTAAATACTGTGGATATGTGTAATGTTCCTCTCGGGCTGCATTTACAAATAAAATAGTAGAAAATAAATAAAATAGCTTTTGAAAATATGTGCATCTTAAAAGTGCTTAATTTTAGATAAATAAAATAAAGTGTAGCAGCAGCTTGAGTTTCCCTTTTTCTTTGTTAACCGTTTCACATCATGACTTAACTGTTTCAGACGATTATAGAACATATCAGTCTTTACACATTATAGCAATTGAACAGTTTTAAAGTCTCTCTTTCTTTCCCTCTTATATTGCAGTCCCTCACTCACTTTGTTTTAATTCAGTGCGAGAATTGAGCTGGAGCTTATTGTCCTGCCAGTTTAGATCTGGGCTAAAATGGTGTCAGGGCCATTGTCATACATATGCAGGTGCTCATTGGTTAGCCTCGGTTAGCCTGCCCTGGAACGATATTTAGTTTTAATTTTGATCCTGGTGGACTGATCATATCGGGCTCTGAGACTGCTTATTTTTTGTGACCTCAGTTCTGACTTGAGAGGGAATGTTTGGTCCAACACTTTGTGTTTTGTCTCATAGTGGCGTGTTGGCACTTTTAATGAGCGCCACGGTCTCTGAACAAATGAGACACACTGGTTCTGTGCTCCCAGTGGGCAGGATGAACATGAACGAGTCCGTCCACTCAGGGTTAAAAGCTCTGTTCTCACTGTCCACTTTCCTCTTCTTGGAGAGCGCCATGTGTAATTATTTGTCTCTCCCTGTCTGCCGCTAACGCGCCTGTTCACTCTCCTCTCCGCTTCTCTCCGCTTCTCTCCCTGTATCGCTAATTATTCTCTTCACTCACTTTCCTCTCTGCCGCGCTCTCATCTCTTCTTCTGTGTTTCTCTCCCTGTATCACTCTCTCGTCTCTTTCGCCCGCTGTCGGCAGCGTTTAAAATAGAATCGCCCCGTCAAAATTGAATTCCCCTATTAATGTATTGATTATAGGTCCGGGTCCGTATAAGTCGGCGTCTGGGTCCGGATCGCGGTCCGCCTGTTGCCGACCCCTGTCCTATAACATAATCTTCCTGTGCAAGAATAATGCACTTGAACGCATCAAAGCTTTGTGATTGGCCGGCGTGACCCCATGTGTCGGGGCGTGGCTGGTGGGCACTATTTCGCTGACGTTGTCCGTGTCAACAGGAGTGACAGTCCACACACACACAAGACAGCAAGACCACTCCGAGTGGGAGGATGATTATTTTTGTATCTATTCCAATTCAAAGTCCATCTGTCTCATCTGCAATGCGAGCGTAGCTTTATCGAAGAAGGGTAATTTAGGAGCGGCATTTCAAAACAGTGCACAAACACTACGAGACGGAATTCCCTCCTGATTCTGCCCTACACTCCCAAAAGGTGAGGGGCCTGAAAGGACAGCTAAATGCACAGCAGTCCATATTTACCAGGCCCAACAACAAGAGCAAGGCTGCTACCATAAAACAACATGCGCAAAAAAACAAAACAACGTGTGAGTTTTAACAACATGTTTATTTATTGACTTTTCATTCCTGTATGAAATCATTTTGCACAAAGATGGCACTGTTTTTCAGAGCACTTCATCCTTCTGGGTTTCCTGAAGAACAGCTCCAACGCCTGTGTGTATGGGAACGCCTCTGGTGCTGGTCCATTAACTGCTATCCGCAGACATGCAGCCAGGTGCTCCCCTTTCAGTCGGTTTCTCAGGTCAGTTTTCACCTGTAAAACAGACAGTTTGTTTTAAATGAACTATACAGAAATGACATGCAAAACACTTACCCTGTTCAGAATATCAGTATGAGAAAAACGACACCCTCTGTCCTTAGACCCTCACATCGTAAAAGGAAAAACTTCCAGAGAAAACCCACAGTTTAAGGGGAAAAAATGGGTGAAACCTCAGGGAGAGCAACAGAGGAGGGATCCCTCTCCCAGGACGGACAGACGTGCAATAGATGCCGTGTGTAAATCGAAGAGATAATACATTTTACAGCATATAGACCGAATGTTAGGAAATGCATGTGTCTGTAATAAGAAGATGAATCCACAAGGATGTCAGCTACAATCCTGTGGAAGCCATCAGGGAAGCAGCATGACGAGACCCAAGGCAGGACCGCAGAGACAGGTTCAGCCACGACCCGAACGTCCACGACTTAATCCAGAACTTCTCACTGGTCAGGAGCTGCATGATCTCAGCTTGTGTCTTGTCCTTCAGGGATTAGCCAAGGCAGGGCAAATGAGCATACAGTATAATTGAAACATTTACAGATGTCAAAAACAAGCAATTCTAACCGTCAAGACAGATGAGACAGAAATAAATTCAGTGCATATTAATTCAGGTAATTTACCAACCTTAAATGCTCCTACGAGAACATGCTGCTTGTACGAGGTCCACTCTTGAATAACTGTGGCATCCTGCCGTGGGATAAATTTGTTGGTAAGGGTCTGCATCATTGAAATGTTGGTTACATCATTTGAGGTAACTGTCTTTGGACCCAGGACATTGAAGGCCCCCAGCAATTCAATATGCTGGAACCTCCTCTCAATGTTGCTCTCCAGGCTGCAGATGTAAGGTTTGAGGACCTGGAATGCAGTGGCGAACCGTCAGGGCCTTCAAGGTATTGAGAGAATACCCTGATAACTCAGATAAAAAAAAGACATTTATCGATTTAATTATATAAATACAATTTAATAAAATGTAAATACATTTAATAAATGAGAATCTTATCTGGGTTGTTGATCTGTAATAAACAGTGTTACGTGGATTTGTTTGTCCTTCTTGGACCTTGCACTACGCATTTTAGAAAATAAATGCAACCAATCAGATCTGTTTCTGCATCTGTGGGTATTCTGTATCCTTGATAGAAGGCCCTGGTCGTTGAACTGAATGAGAGCGAACACTTTGATTGACAGTTTGATCAACCAATCATATATTGATTTGTAGCCAATGGGCGTATTCTTTCGGAGTTTCCCACGGTGCAGGGTATGCTAGAAGGCCCGTTAGTTCTGACAGGTGCGAGACACAGGATATAGATGGGACGTAACAATTCATTTTCTGTTTTATTCAGAATCCCTCTCCTCTGTCATCATCCTGTTGGACCTGTCTGCTGCATTCGACACGGTGAATCATCAGATCCTCCTTTGCACTCTCCAAAAACTTGGAGTTTCAGGCTCTGCACTTTCCCTCCTCACCTCATACCTGAAAGACCGTACCTACAGGGTGACTTGGAGAGGGTCTGAGTCCGACCCTTGTCAATTAACTACAGGGGTCCCTCAGGGCTCTGTTCTTGGTCCCCTCCTCTTCTCCCTGTACACAAACTCACTCGGATCAGTCATTAGCCCGCATGGTTTTTCATACCACTGCTACGCTGACGACACCCAATTAATTCTGTCCTTTCCCCGCTCAGAGACCCAGGTCGTCGCACGCATCTCTGCTTGTCTAGCTGACATCTCTCAGTGGATGTCTGCTCATCACCTCAAGCTCAACCTTGACAAGACTGAACTGCTTTTCCTTCCGGGAAAAGATTGTCCCACTCTTGACCTAACAATCAACATCGGCACCTCAGTTGTTTCCCCGACTCAGACTGCAAGGAATCTGGGTGTGACCCTAGATAACAACCTGTCCTTCACTGCAAACATCGCTGCTACAACCCGTTGCTGCAGATACACGCTTTACAACATCAGGAAGATACGTCCCCAGCTGACACGGAAAGCGACGCAGGTTCTAGTCCAGGCTCTCGTCATCTCACGCCTAGACTACTGCAACTCCCTCCTGGCTGGTCTACCTGCATGTGCCATCCGACCTCTGCAGCTCATCCAGAATGCAGCGGCTCGTCTGGTCTTCAACCTTCCTAAATTTTCCCACACCACTCCGCTCCTCCGCTCCCTTCACTGGCTTCCGGTAACTGCTAGAATCCACTTCAAGACACTGGTACTTGCTTACCATGCTGCGAATGGATCTGGCCCTTCGTACATCCAGGACATGGTTAAACTGTACACCCCAGCTCGTGCACTACGCTCTGCATCAGCCAAACGACTCGCTTGCGCCCTCGCTGCGAGGGGGACCCAAGTTCCCATCAGCAAAAACACGTGGGTTTGCTATCCTGGCTCCAGGATGGTGGAATGAGCTCCCCATTGACATCAGGACGGCAGATAGCTTGCACATCTTCCGGCGCAGACTGAAAACTCATCTCTTTCGACTCCACTTCGAGCAATAGAACTATTAACAAAGCACTTATATACTAATAAAGGACTGGCTTATCTAAAGCCAGTTGAGTATCACTTGAAATGTTTGGCTCTATGAAACCTGATGTACGTATATGATTCTGTTTTCTTCAAGGTTGTGTCTTCCTGGTCGAATGTACTTATTGTAAGTCGCTTTGGATAAAAGCGTCAGCTAAATGCAATGTAATGTAATTATTCGTTTTAACGTTGACATGGCAACAGGTGAAGAAGATGTTGTTGCGGAATTATTGTCGGTTCCTTTTTTAAGACGACAATTCACTGAAAAGACGGACATTGTAAAAAAAAGGGCGCCCAACGCCTGAAAATCTGTAGCTGAATCAAGTTGCTAAAGGCTAAAGGTAGAGTTCTCCTTGCTATTAATACTATGTCTGTCTCTGTGAATGGGATGCTTGGAACTGTGCTGCTTGTTCACCTGCACCTACCAGACCGGGACCTGCTGCTGCTTCTACCACACTGGGACCTGCTGCCTCTCCCTTCCCTCAGTACTCTGACTATTTGTGCCAGCAGCTTCACTGACCACCGGCTATAATTGAAAACAAGCTTGAATCTAGTTTGGTCTCTGCATTGCAACTCACTGTTGACTGCACTTTATATAATTTCAGGTCAAATGAACCGACACATGTAATTATTGAGACTTATGCATTTATTATTGCCATTGCAAGCCAAATGCTAACATTGGCTAAGTTACCTGTGGTCTCTCCTCCTCATCCTCACGCCGTATTCTCTTAAAATATTTTTGAATACTCATATCTGAGGAGTAAATGCAGGGGAAATTAACAGTCTAACCTTAGCTAAAGCTTATCTGTGTCCTTCGAACTGGCATAGCCCGAAGAGAAAACAAATTATAATTTTTTTAAATATTTAATTTAGCACACGTAACTTGCACGCAGCAAAGTTGGCCTGGCTACGTTAAATACACCCTTAGTTGCCACTTTCATCCAAATAATTCGAAGCTCCTACCAAAGTCAGAAAACAACAACACAATAAGGAGAAAATTAGTTGCTTTACCTTAGTGTCTGCGTCTTCTAAGTTAACGTAGTCTTCTCCGTTTCTCGTTTCCCTCCACGCGATGGCAGCGCAAACAGCAGGTGTGGAGTGAGGGATCATCCACTAGTTAAGCGATCGCAGAGCGAACAGGTGGGGATTATTGTCCCCTAGTTAATCAATCGCAGAGCGAACAGGCACAGGAGGCGTAGAGCGAGGGATCATTGTCCATTAGTTAATCGATCGCAGATGGCGTCGCTCACGGACGGATACCAAAAGAAAAAGGGTCGCGAAATATACTTGGGCGGGCGTTAATATACCTGGGCGGCCCGCCCAAGTATAGTCTATGTGTGGGAAACCCTGAGGTAGCAGCACCTTCCACCTCACAGTCCCATGTTATGCCGGCTTTTCTTGGCTTGTTTGAAGGTGAGTGGTGATGAACAAATGACTAAGCTGCCAGTGCCTCTAGTTTACAGAGCCAAAAGCAAATAGTTAACTAAGGTGGTGGCTAATGGATAAGTTAGCTCATGGGCGTAGGCTAATGTACTGTACAAAGCTCACAGATAGACAACAGATAGAGCCAGAAATCTAGGTGTAGTCATGGACTCTGACATGAGTTTCAACAGTCACATTAAAACAATTACTAAATCAGCCTACTATCACCTCCTTTTGCATATTAGAAACGGAGTTGGCGACACTAAAACTGCAATATAATGTTTAGCAATAATACATATGACATATATATTTTACATGTCTCCAGTACCGATAAAAAGACCGATAACGTCGGAGCTTAGCGGTACCACGGTCTTTAATAATTCAGCCCTGGGGCCCCTTTAATACCGGGGCTCGGTACCCATCCCTAGTCTTTACAGGTCTCACTAAAAAATCTATTAGAAAGCTGCAGCTGATTCAGAACGCTGCTGCTCGAGTCCTCACTAACACTAAGAAAGTGGATCACATCACTCCTGTTCTGAAGTCTTTACACTGGCTTCCTGTGTGTCAAAGAATAGATTTCAAAATACTGCTGCTGGTTTATAAAGCACTGAATGGTTTAGGCCCAAAATACATTTCTGACCTCCTGCTAAATGATGAACCATCCAGATCTCTCAGGTCTTCAGGGACTGGTCAGCTTTCTGTCCCCAGAGTCAGAACTAAACATGGAGAAGCAGCGTTCAGTTATTATGCTCCAAATATCTGGAACAAACTCCCAGAAACCTGCAGGTCCGCTGCAACTCTTACTACTTTTAAATCCAGACTGAAGACTTTTATTTTTGCCGCTGCTTTTAATTGAACTATCCATATCTTAAAGGTGGGGTAGGTAATTTTGGAGAAACCAGCTCGAGTGCGCTAGAATTTGAAAATACACAGCCGGAAAAAATCTGCCCCTTCCTTACAGAGCCCCTCCTCCAACACACACAACGAACGCGCACATGACCAATGAGGGCACGAGATAAGTTTGTGCACAGATGGAAGGCAGACAGGCAGGTAGGCCATCCAGTTACTTTAGCCGGGCCGGCTCAGATGATTGGTCATGCTTTTTACAGCGCCACGGCTTCCACTGATGATATTTATTATGGATTTATTGTCAAAGCACTTCAGATATTCATTGCTATCGGGATGTTAAAAGCATTCCATGCAATATAACAAAAAGTGTATACCGAGCCGGTTTCTCAAACTTACCTACCCCACCTTTAAACTGCACTGTAACTTTTATCCATGTATTTTTTCTTTTAATGTTTATTTTATTAGCTTTTCTTTTTAATGACTGATTTTAAATGCCATTTTCTTAATGTCTTTCATTTTTTGTAAAGCACTTTGAATTGCCTTGTGTTGAAAGGTGCTATATAAATAAACTTGCCTTGCCTTGTACTTAAGGGGAGACACTACAGGTGAATACAGTAAAATGTGTATCTAATAACGTCATCACAATCGCCACATTGATATACAAATTAGACGTTACATATTAAATTGTGCCAATTTGCATGCAGTTACCAAGGCATTGCAGGTGAAAAGGATTTTTAAAAAATCAAAAACTTCCCCAGATAGTCAAGTCAGTTTTTCCCCCTGAAATGTTATGTTTAAATATGCAAATTAGCTTTAAATCTATAGATGAACTCAGACAGGTAGTAAAACGAACACCATTTATATGTGTTTTTTGGAAATTTTCTTTCCATTGAGTGAAATAAAACATGGAAGCAAAATAGACCAAAATGTACAAGTACATGAAAAAACGATATTTTTATTTTACTTAAGGCGAGACACGGCAGGCAAAAACATTGATTTTCATGTACTGGTCAATTTTGAGATGTTGTGCTATTTTGATTCTATAACATGTTTTCTTCCAGGCTTTTGGAAGGAAAACGTACAAAATACACATTTAAGTGTTTATTTTACTATAGTTTGTCTATTTGCGTCTGTAGATTTCTCCTAAATTCACCAAAAGTTAGCATTCTAACGTAACATAAAGTACCGCGACCGCTGTTTGCACCATGTCATCAGAGGTATCACTGGAAAGCTCTGTCTCTCCTGCACAATCTCATTGGATCCAAATATGGTCATTTCCTTTGTATCAGCAACCAATCGTGAAAGCACAAAGGGGTCTTAAACCAAGAAACAAAATCTCATTGGCTGGTGTCAATTTCTGACAACGTGATTCGTTCAGATGCGTCACGTGGTGTGCTAAAACACTTCCTGGTTAGCTTTCCGCTAGAAATTGAAATCTCAAAATGGCAAAAGAACGGCGAAGAAAATGTTCACAGAGAAGACGACAACAATTGTCACTTGCACGAATCAAGGTTATACAAAAAACAAATGACCCCGAACATGAAATACCTTCACGGAGTGCGTCGATGCGCAAGCTGTCATCCAAAGAACAGGAGGGTTTAGCTAGCGACTCACTGCAATCTTTCGTCGTTTTCTCAAAATGAGTTTTTTCTCCTACTCTGAGTTCGAAACTTCAACTTCAGTAGCACGTGGATACACCAAACCTTCCAGTTACATTCCTATCAATATTATGAAGGCTTTTACAGAAGGGTTTGTTCATATATCATTCATAGCCTGAATTATACAACATTGTATACCTAAAAACATGGCGAAAATTTATATTTTAGGGCTGTTGACAGTATTTTCTGATTTATGGAGTGATAAAAAGAGATATCCAAAATCACTTCTGTAAAAGCCTTAGATACTAATATGACTAAAAATGAAACAAGAATTTTGAACCTGGCTATATCCAAAGTTCAGATTTCGATTCCTGAAATGTGTTAAAATATGTGCATATTTAATGAGATAATGGATAATTTGCATATTTAAACATGCTATTTCAGAAAACTTGTAATACAAAAAACAATTGCCTTATTGTAAGTAATTAACTGGAGACATTTCTAGCTGATACTTTTAAGTTAAAAAAATTACCCTATTCACCTGGGGTGTCTCGCCTTAAACAGTAACTTCATAATTGTGATTGTTGTCTGCTCTTGTGCGTAGTGTTAGTAGAATGATGTTGAGTATTAAACAATTGCGTGAGTGTGAGGGTATTAAAATAAATGTGTCGGTAAGTCTTTTATACATTATTATGGGAAATGCCCTTTTTCTCACTTGAGCTCCTGCACCCCCAAAGTGTCTGTGCACGTCCCTGCTGTCAGTGTTAATGAACTAAAAAGACATGGCGATGTGCCTGCAAGACTCAAAACATATCACCCGTGCGCAGCAGCTAACCTGCCTGCAAGCCTTTGCTCAGGTCACATTTACACACGGCGCGGTGCGGCTGAAGCCCGCGAAAAAGGCTTCCATAGTTGCCGACAGTTTAGTATTTTTAAAGTACGGTTACTATGTCAAACATGCTCAAAACTTTCTGACACACTCTCTTAAACATCTCTAACATTATACCTTGTTTACACAAGTTAACATCGATCCTTTTCATCATGTACTGACCTGTAGAAAACAGAAAAGTGCAGCAGGGTGAAATAAACACAGGAACCGGTTGATCGTCTGGATTGCTTCTGCAATATCACCCAGCCGCAGCAAAACGGTACACGACACGCCCCCTATACGACACGCCCCCTATACGACACTACGGTGGCTGAGAGACATCGATACCGTATATGGCAGATTAAAAACAAATTGCAAATGTTATTGTAGCATTGCAGCAACTATTTGGCAAGTTGCTGCATTTTGGCAAGTTGCTTTATTTTGTTTAATTCATAAATTAAAACAAAAAGGTGGCTTAGTAAACTTTATCTTATTTTTGTAATACATATAAAATAGGTATTAATGAGATCATCTATGAATTATGTTTGCCTAACATGTATTTATACATAAATGTAGATATTTATGAACATCTAAATATAATTGTTAAAGGTTTTAAGATATAAATAATCACATCATGGGGTCAATAAGGTTTCAAAGTGGTTCATGCAAGGTAGGCCTACTATAACATGAAAACATGATTTTTAAAACTAATTTCTGAATCTCACATTAGCCTGTAGTTCGGTATGTTATTGATATGGGCTGGAAACCAGTGGCGGCGCCAGAGATTTTCTCTAGGGGGTGCTGTGGGGTAGCTTGACGTTTCATAGGGGGTGCTCAAACATTTAGGGTTTCCCATGAATGCACCGGCGCTAGAGTTTAATTTTCTACTGCAACACTCCCCACACGCACACACACAGTACACCCGCGACTGTTACAATGAGGCCGTGAAGATTTTATTTTAAATATTGAAGTTAAATGCATCAATTGGTGCACTTTGAGAGCAACATTAAGCGGTCTCTGCATTGTGTTTTGCGTTGTTCATGGATGGATGAGACCCGAGCCAGCATACAGTTTAGACGATTTCCTTTTAATCACTGACAAGCTGACAACAGATATAACAAATCAGTATTACATTTTGTATCCCTCACAGTGACTCCTCTCACGTGGAAACATTTACAAAAACAAAAAGGGAAGAGGAAACGTGAGGGACAATATACAGGGGGGTGGGTGTACCCACAAAAATAATCTTCTGAGTATAGTGACTACATTTCAGAAGTTCCGCCCACTGATCTCCGACCTTGTCAGGTATTGAACATAAATAAACTAAGAACTAGTGTGATTATACTAATTTAAATGATGTACAAACAAACACCACTGCATATTTACAACTGTTAGAGCGGGTAAGGTCCACAAGCCTAACACACTGGCTCTGAACATAGAATTAAACACAAGTAGGCCACATAGAAATAACTATAAACAGTCAGAATGTTTGCCTCAACCATCAATGCATTACATTTATAATAGGCAACAGAGGGGGTGCATCATCATGCACTTACCATTAGACATCTTCATAACAAAACAATGCGTCTGTTGTTCAATCAATGATTTTGTCGCTGTCCAGGGCCCTTGTTCTCACGGTGTTTATAGCCAACAGTGCTAGGTTACTGGTTCGAGAGTCCCCACTGGTGTTCCTCAGGTAGTTTTTCAAACGACGCAGACAAGAAAAACTGCGCTCACAGCTCACTGAGGTCACGGGAAGTGTCAGAGATATGCATATCAGTTTGTACAAGTCTATAAATGCATCTCTGTATGGCCTCATGAGGGATAGAAACTCCTTGGTGCTGGTGATAGTATGTCCCTGTTCTTCTTTTCTTTCCAACAGCCGGCGAACTTGGTAAAGCTCTGCAGACAGGTTTTCCTCACTGATTCCATAGTGGCGGGCCATGGGCAGTATCATTTTTTTTGTCCAGAAATGATGTGTGTTTGGGGCTCAGGGCGGACACACCTCTCAGTACTTCATTGGTTTCTGTTGAAAAGCGACGTTTCATCTCCATTAACAACCTGTCTATAACAGGATAGAACGAGTATGTTCTCAGGTATCTGTTTCTAAGCATGCTCTTTCTAACGGGGCTTCCACTACAAACCCCTCCAGATGTTGAGATGTTTGGGCCCGCCTTCTCTCACGTTGCGTCTGTGGTGCAATTCCTGCCTTCACGCACAGACTTTCTGCTTCATTTCTGATTTCCCTCGGTCCGCTTTTCAGATATGGCAGTGGTAACAGACTGGGCCAGATCATCTGCCGCTTCAAGATCAAAAGTGGCGGACTGAAGCTGATCCGACATGAACTTGGTTGTTCTGAATACATCTCCGAAAAATAATGATGTTACGTGCCGTAGTGGGTGCTGGTGTTTGGGTGTGTGTGTGTGTGTGTGTCTTTCTCTCTCTCCCTCTATATTGTCTCCAGGTGCAGCTTCTCCTCCAGGTGCTCCCAATCACCAATCAGGGCCTCCATAAAGGACCTGAGAAAAGCTGCAGTCGCTCTCTCCTTTTTTCCTCCTCTGGCTGCATGTGTGCAGACCTGTGTCTTGCCGATTGATAGGAGGGGAGCTCCGTGATATATCGATGCTATAGTATTCTGTGCAAGTTGGCTGGTGAGCCCGTGTTCCTGTCTTGTTCATTAAACGACTTGTTAGTTACTCAGAGGTCGGTTTTCTCTCCTTTTTTGTCGTGCTTGGTCATCCTTGTGTGTTGTTACTTCCCTTTGTACCCCCTAGATTTAGAAGGGAACGTAACAAATGAGATGTACAACAAATGTCTCGTCCATGATTGCACTGAGAGCTCTCGCCTCTGTCCTCCGGTGTGAATTTGACAGGCCGATGATGTCACGCAGGGTAGCCAGTATTGCTGGGAGAGTTTTCTTGACTGCCCAGATTGCAGTGTATTGGCATGCCCAGCGAGTATCACTCAGCTTCTTGAGTTCTACGCACTGTGCTGTTGGCTCGAGTTCCTTTTGTTTTTTCATGAACAGATCGTGCACCACTGACCCAGAGAAAAACTTGTAGAGCATTTCAATCAATCAACAACTTTATTAATCCCGCAAGGGGCAATTGGTTATGAGCAGCAGCTTATGTCATGTACACAGGCAGGAACATACAAGAAGAAAACACACAGATACACCCGGGAACAGAGATGTGGATAATTCCAATTTACACTATAAATAGTTCAAAGCATCACAATAATAAATAAATAAATAAATAATCAAGTTAAAAGCCTTTTCAAGAATTTAAAAGTTTGAGTGCAGAAGGGATGAATGATTTAGAAAAGCGATTAGTCCTTTGATCAGGCAGAGCATATCTACGCCCTGATGGTAACAGACGAAATTCATGTGAAAGTACATGACCTGGAGAGTTCAGAATGCTCTCTGCTTTCCGCATAATCTGTTGGTTACAGAAGGAATTTAAGTCTCTCTGTTTCACGCCGATGATCTTAGAGCAGGTTTTAACAATGCTGTTCAGGCTGTTCCTGTCTTTCAGTGTAAGGCTATGGAACCAGCAGATAAAAGAAAAACAAATAAGGCTCTCAATGAATGCTTGGTAAAAACGACAAAGAATGAAAGGCCTGACAGAGAAAGAGTTCAGTTTGCGAAGAAGGTGCATTCTCTGTTGACCCCGCTTCAAAATACACTCAGTATTCACATCAAATTTGAGGTGGTCATCGAAAATGGTGCCCAAGTATTTGTATGATGTGACAATTTCTACCTTGTCATTGTGTATGATGCACTCCTTAGGAACATCCGTGTGACGTCTAAAATCAATGATCAATTCCTGGGTTTTAGAGACATTTAAATCCAGAAAACTGTCATCACACCAGGAAATAAAATCGGCAAGAGCACACTCGTGGCCTGATTCTGAGCCGCTAAGGAGGGACAAGAGGGCGGTATCATCATAGAATTTAACCAAGTAGCTGTTGTCTTGCATGCTCCTGCATTTATCAATGTACATTATAAAAAGTAGGGGCGAAAGAACACATCCTTGAGGCGAGCCCGTGGAAGTGATGACAGAGTCAGAGAGGCGTCCATTGACAGACACCTTCTGCTCTCTATTAGTTAGAAAGTTTCAAATCCATAAAACAAGTTGATCGGGCAGTTTAAAATGACATAATAGGCTCTCCACCAGGAGATGCGGCTGCATTGTGTTAAATGCTGAAGAAAAGTCAGCAAACAAAAGCCTAGCATGGGCTTGTGGCTTTTCAAGGTGTTTGTGGAGGGTGTGCAGTATAAAAAGCGTTGCATCCTCTACGCCTCTCCCTGCCTGATATGCACATTGGAGTGGATCAAGTTCACCACCTATTACTGACATGACAAGGCCTTTAACAATTTTTTCAAACATTTTCATTACCAATGACGTTAAAGCCACCGGTCTGAAGTCGTTTAGGACTTTAGGATGAGGCTTCTTAGGGATGGGAATTACAGTTGAGGATTTCCACATATCAGGAATTTGGCTATTCTCAAGTGACAATTGGAAGATATGCTGGAAAACACCACAGAGTTCGCTAGCACAATACTGGAGTGTACGCCCACAAATATGGTCAGGACCTGGGGCCTTCCTAATATTGACTCGTTTTAAGAGATTCCTAACATCATCCTGTTCAATGACTATGTCTGAGATAGGTGAGAGAGACTCTGAGGTGTTTATGGAGAAATCATTTTTCTCGAATCGAGAATAAAAAATGTTAAAAGCATTGGGGAGGTCTGCCTCATTTGTTCCCTCAATGTTAATGGTATTCCTAGCCCTGTCATTGTTGTTACCCTGGGAGATGGAGGACATTGATTTGATTCCCCTCCAGGCTTCCCGAAGATCTCCACTGCTGTATTTGAGTTCCACCTTATCCCTATAAGCTATTTTAGCTTTTCTTATCTCATTTCTTAATTCTCTGTTAATTTCTTTTTTGTCCTGACTGTTTCCAGTGTAAAATATACGTTTCTTTCTATTTATAACACTCTTTAGTTCCTTCGTGACCCACGGCTTATTATTAGGGAAGACGGTAATGTCTTTACAAGGAATGTTAGACTCCACACACAATGATATGTAGGATGAGACAGTTGACGTCAGTTCATTGAGATCAGAGCATGAGCTATAAAACACATCCCAATCCGTGCAGTCCAAACATGCCTGTAAGGTGGCAATGCTTTCCTCTGTCCAACATTTCACAGTTTTTTTTGTGCACACTTGTTTCCTGCAG